TACGTTACATTTCTTTATACTTTCTTAATGGTTATTTTACACATATTAGAGTATAGAAAACAGGTTATAAATTAACAATATTTTTATTATCACAAATTATGTACACCATATTAACTATTTACAGTATAAATACTTTTTCCATTATTTGTTACATTAATAGGTTGACCTGTTAAAGTATTGGAATACTAAAATCATTTATTATTGTCATAATAATTAAAGTTTATTACATTCTCAAAAATGGGTATACACATGAAACTGTTCAATGATGGGAAGCAATTTTACAGATCACTTTACAAGTCAAGCTTGTCCATCATACATGAGTAAATATTAGAAAGCAGATCAGAGATGATCTTCAAGGCAAACAAAACATTTTGAGATCTAGTTAGTTATATTGTGAGCACCAATACAGAGGCATCTGCTACCACATGTATCCATACAAAACTGAAGCACAGATCAAAATCCTATCATACATTAGAAAAAAAAAAAAGTACTTTTAACCCTCAACACAGCCATCACTAAGGTTAAAAACCTTATGCTTACTTATTTGGTTAAAAAAAAGTAGTTGTTAACTTTGGAATGGGTGTAAGTTATGTTTTATCTTGCCAAATACCTTAGGTGGCATGTAAGCAGGATCAGCAGTCACTCAGTCTCCAGTGTAATTATGACTGAAGGATTTGTAGAAAGCTACAGTCAGAAGCTGGATGGAATTCAGGTTACCTGCAGTAAACTATATGACTCTTAACACTTAAACTACACTAATTGTAAATAGAAATTAATGCAATAGATGTTACAATATTTCCTCATAAAAAATATAAAGCAAGTGACTAACCTTTAAATGATGTGTCAGAATTTAGACAGTAGCTGTGTGTAACAAAATAATAAGTCAAAGGTAAAAAATATTTCAGAAACATTTTATTATACAAGCTTGGACAAATTTTTTTTTTCAGACTATGTGAGTTCGTTTACATTTTCATTTGAACTTCATACTAGTGAAAATCTTGTGTAATGACCGGTGTTGAAGAAAAAATGTAATTTTTTTTTTTATCTATTCTCAGTTGCATTTATATTTTTTTTTACAGGAATGCCTGAATACCCACCCACCTAGGCTCAGTCACTAATTTATTCTCATTCATGCACTTGTTTAGCAGTTCCCTACGAATATAACATTGCGCTCTTTATCTCGTATATGTACTGTATGTATACGTACATGTGTGCGCGTGTACCTAACAGTTCTTATCTCTGCCTTCCATTCTGCAGTTTCCACACTGAGTATGCATGTATTTGGGGCAATACAGCCTGTATGGTCTTAGCTGTTCAAGTTCTAAAGCATGGCATGTTAAACACAATGAAGTCTAAGATCAAGAGAAGCCTTGCTAGTCTAGTGCCCAGATGAGAATCTCAATCTCTACTACCTAACACCACAGATGTCCCTGCTGGCCACCCTAATGACCTCTCCTTATAGCCCTGGAAGAACTGTAAACTACTGTTGTGGGACTGTACTTGTGCTCTTACCTTGGCTGATGTGTACATCCCATTTAGTACTGGTCAGATCACAAGTTCAACAAGTACAGAGACTTATCCCACAAGCACCACTTGTCCCAAAAGAAACAAGACACCCTTGACCCTTAAGTAAACCATGCTATGGATTTCCTTAGAGCTGGGTTCCAAACCTATCAAAACCACCAGAGACCTGCCACCTTTCTCTTAGCCTCGGTGTAGTAATCCAGAGAGAATGCATTCTGCATCTTCGATTTCTGGCTAGTGACTGATGAGCTTGAGGAGCTCCAAAATTTAAATTTCCACACACTTTCCAAATTTGGGTGTCAATTCAACTATACTCATCAGTATGTAAACATATTTTCCCATATATCATTCAAATAAAGAATTTAAAATTCATAAATGTAGGGGGTGGTAGGAAAAAACAATGCTCAAAACAGCTATGAGAAGAAATCCCTAGTTTTTCCCTGAAAGTATATTTTTCTTTTCCGAAGCTAAGGGTCCCCAATTATCACTAGAGGTGGTACCTCCTTGTATGCAAGATTTAGAAAAGGCATAAGATCAGAGAGCCAGCTGGCAGATGTTGAAAATGCATGATATAGGAGGTTGGTTACTAAAAGTATTTAACAAGCTTGTATGCAGAATAAAGTTCAGATAAAGGTACAGTGGAACCTCAGTTATCGTATTCCCTAGTCTGTACGTAAAACTAAAGTTATTCTCTATAAAATGTATTTTTTTGTTAATATTTCCCATAAGAAATAATGTAAATCCAGTTAATCCGTTCCAGACACCCAAAAATATTATCAAAAAACACATTTTATAGAGAATAACTCCAGTTTTACATACAGACTAGGGCATACAAAAACCAAGGTTCCACTGTATGTGGAAAGGTGGGACTATTTCCAAGTGAAAGTAAGACAGGGTTGTGGGATTTCACCATCATTGTTTAACATTTATACAAGATGTGAGAGAACTAAAGGCTAGAGTGTTGAGAAGAGGTGCGGGATTAAAAGATAATGGATCTGATATAAAGTAAGTGTTACAACAGGTGTTCTTTGCTTATGAAATTTCTTTTGGGAGATTCTAAAGAAAAGTTGCACCAGCTTGTAAATGAATCTGGGATGCTATGTAAAACAAGAAAACTGAAAGTGAACACAGAAAAGAGCAAGGTAATGAAGGTAGCAAAGCTGAAGCAACAAAAGATTGAAAATCAGCTTGGAGGAAGTGGACATGTCAGTAAATGTAAATGGGTCTGTGCAAGAGGTGAACTGCGGAACAGATGAAGAGTAAAAGGTGGGCATGTTTGAGCATCTGTGGAAGGAAAAGTTTATCCATGGAGGCAATAAGAGAATGTGTTGGAGTACAGCGGTACCAACACTTGTATAGGTGTGAGGCATGGATTTTGAATGCTGAATCCAGAAACTAGAGGCAGTGACGTTATGTCTGATGTGTCTTCCTCCGAGTCACCCTGACTTGGCAGGAGACTGCAATAGATGTAATGTGAATGAACTTTTTTTTTTTTTTTTTTTAACCTCAACAGCCATCTCTCAGCAAGGTAAAGTGACTCAAAGAAAACACATTCATCATTTATTTAATTGCTGTCTTGCAAGAAGTGTGCTGAATTCACAATACAAGTTACCCTCAGACTGCAACATCCTCAACTCCTTCAAAATGCAAGCACTGCCTTCTTACTCCTCCAGGACTCGAATCATGCTAATCAGTATCCCCTGAATCCCTTCATAAAGTTATATTGCTTACACTCCAACAGCATGTCCATTAAAAACGATTTCTTGTTCTCGTTCACTCCCAACACACAAAGCCTCTTGGATACACAAACCCCTAAATCTGAACCTCTTTTATATAAACTTGCCTCCAATCATTCTTGGGACAACCCCCACTCGTCATCTTATTCCTCCCCATCCAAACCACCTCAGCAATCCCTCCTGAGCTCTCTGGATTATACCCTTGGTGACTTCCACATTGCTTTTTAATTTCTACACTTCAAATTTTGTGATATTCACACTACACATCACCCTCACACATGACATTATTGCTTCTAGCCACCTCTTCACTGCAGCACTCATATACTGTTGGTGTGAAACATGGGTTTAAAGTGTTAATACCACTATACTCTGGTACATTCCCTCTTTTGCCTTCACAGGTGCCTCAATACACCACCCACCATTTAACCCCTCCCCACCCCTTCAATTATTCTACTTTAAATAAGCTGAACTATCCTAACCACTTTAAGATATTTTGCAAAGAGACTAACTTAATCTAACAAACTAAGATTGAAGTGCTGTAATATATCTTAGGCCAGCTTAAATTTATTATCAGGGATCAGATAACTTATTGGTTACTGTAACAATGAACTGACACTTGCCTTGTTTCTAAAGCTGTTACTTTACATATGAAACTGGTAAGCTCTGCCTAAAAAATCATAACATGTGCTGTAGTGTGTGTGTTATGAATGAATATGAGGTACACCTCTGGTGAAAAATTATGAGGACCTATATATAATACCTGTCATGCCTAATAAGCAGAACTGGTCACTGAGATGGACCTGCCCCGAAAAAAGATCCAATATTTTTATATAATTTTTATTACAATTGCATAATTCTAAACTTTACACTAAAATTAGCTTAAGCCACCTCAAGTTTGTTATAATTAAATTCACTTTATTCCTACTAACGTTGTAGGTCAGTCTATCAATAATTATTTTATATTTGAACTGATTTTTGCATACTACATAAAAAAAATCTCTGCTTATTTTGCAAAGTAACTTGCTTTATATGCCTAAATCAGCACATTATAATTATACACACACAGGTACAGTATATATATAAATACACATACATCAGTCAATATCAATTTGCAGGGCATTTGCAGTGAAAACAATCAAAGGGTCCTCTCTCATACTATATAAAACACCAATTATAAAACCCTCAAAGGCACACGACTGCTGACTGCGTCAATAAATGGATAAAAGCAAGCATAACATACACCTTTAGTAACCCCCCAGGGCTGGCACATCTATACTGATAGCTTTTTTTTTATATATATATATATATATATATATATATATATATTATATATATATATATATATATATATATATTATATATATATATATATATATATATATAAATTCCCTAAAGATCATTTCTCTCTGAATCAATTGTAAGCAGGTATTTAATCAGTTAAACTCCCTGAAGTAAATCTTTGAACTAAATGAAGAATTTTTAAACAAGTTATTAAAACTAAATGTGTATATTATTTTGAATGAATTTAAAAAAAAAAATCAAAAGTGCATATTTTGGTTGAGATCTGCAGGTATTTTAACCAAAGAAAAATCCAACTTTTATTTTTTGGCACTGACCCTAAATCACAAGGGTTAGAGTGCATCAACAACATAACCTCAACTATGAGCAAAAATGAGATTATGGAAGAGGTTCTTGATGAAATACTTTTATTACAAAGGGAAAATCAAAGCCTGGCCGGTGTATTTTTTGCATATGTTCATTAGTAAGAATTTATGGCCAGGACTAGAATGCAAGTCAAAAGGTATAATTCCACTGAAAAAGGGAGCAACCAACTCTGGTTCTTCCTAAATTATCAATACGTCTATATAGGACCTGGAATATGTTGCAGGGAAGGTTTAATTCCTGATTACACCACCAGGTAAAAACTACTCATTCATTATGACCTGAGATACTGGTGACTTATTCACTGATTTCCCATGTGCTATTACAATACCCCTAACATCAGATACTGCATAACTCTCAGCTATACAGCCCTTATGTTCACTTCAGGGCACTGTTGCCAGCAAGTTACTGCAACTGGTTTCCATCATTTAGACAAAAATAATATTGCAGAATTTTGGTTACCATAAAATTATGAATGTTCATCACGGCTTGTCATTATGCAATTAAACTTCCAGTTGAATAAAAAAAAAAAAAAAAAAAAAAAGTATGGTACTGACAAAGGCAGTGGCCAGCTCTGTTCAAGTTATACAAGAAAAAAATCTGCCTGGCTCCTGGGAATGTGAACCTTATGTGGTACCCACTTCACAATATAAAATTTAAAACTAAAGCTCAAAACTGCTAATCTGGCAACAAACAAGTCTCCTATAATCACTTAATACAGAATGATAATATACCATCCCATCAATATTACATGTATCTCGCCACTACACTTGCTTGAGAATTCAAAGAAATACAGTACTGTACATTAACATCTGGAAATGCTTCAGATGTAAAGAATATCTTGGTAGTATACAAATACAGTACTGTTCTGCACTATCACATCAAGGCAGAGTGGAGTAAGAAATCAGAAGGCACAAAGTTTATATTATTAACTGCTGTAATTCATTTCCTTCTTAGCTATTTGAAGGAGACAATAAGCATGAGCCATCCCAATTACTGAAATGCATCTATCATAGGTGATCCCCATCAGTGTTAGTTGACTGATTACAAATTGAACTATCATCAACTGCAACTTTAACCATCAATACTCTTCACTATATAGAAGCCATTATTAAACTTAGAAGCACCTATTTTTAAATTGAAAGTGCAAGATGGGGGGACTATGAGTAGGGAATGCATTCTATTGAGCAGCAAATGCCTTAGGGTTTTACCTCAATTAAAAAATCTGCCATTTTCAGTGTAATACTGCAATTACCACATTCCTATTATTCACGGCCACCAAGTTTCAAGAGGCAAGGAACGAGATGCAAATTTAAATATGACTAATCCTCAACTTCCTCACCGTTTTCTCCATAGTTAAAAATATTGAGGCAATTTTTTAGTATTGCCTTACATCTTTTCTTTGAATCACTATTCCATTTTTCTAGCTTTCTTTTCACACTACCAAATTGGCACTATTCAAAGGCTTGCATAAGTATGACCAGCTCACGATACATAGGTCCCATTTTGCCAGGTACTGTCTGTCGCCTGAGAAGGAAGGCTCTTATTGACATCATGTGATTGTAGCACTCTATGCATTTGTTGTATCTGAAAAATGAAAACAAAAGCCACTACTGAAATAACTATTTAGACAAAAATCGTTCAGTTAAAAAATTGATAACATTTAATAAAAATAATTCTGCCCAAGAGGCCAGAAACCAGTAATGCCTATCAGGACAGTTTATGAAGCAAGATCAAGAGCTGAGACTGCCTCTGCAAACACACCGGCACTGCATACTCAATGACTGGTCACACACACATGAAATCTTTATTATTAGTAGCATTCTCTCTCTCTCTCTCTCACACACACATGCACGTCTGTCTACATTTCTGAAAATCAAATGTGGGAAACAGAAACCTGTAATTATCTTACACCATGGTAGGATTACTGATGTCTCTTCTCTCTTGAAATATATGAGAACAGGTGTTTCTTGTTACAACTACTAACACTAGTTCATAATATAAATGCAGCTGTGCAAGTTCATGTATGAGTATACACACTGATGTGTTTTTTTTTCTCCCCCTCTTCCACTTAATTTACTATGCAGTACACTTAATGGGGCTGAACTCTATTAATAATTTATTTGAACATTCCTATTGTTAGTCCAGGCTTTTGAGCAGCCTCCTACTGATCTCTTGCACTTTTATCCTCAATTCTGGTCTCATCCACCATCATATTTTAGTAATCTCCCCCACTGGCACATTGTTTGCATAAAGGAAATTATCAGTTATCTTTAAATTTGAAGTTTTAAGACCTACCGTTCTTCTCTTGATATGTCAACCCCAACACTGTGTATGGGACCGGACATGTTTGATTTAATCATGACAGCAAAATTCTTGATCATCAGCTTCAAGGCATTGCAACCACAAGTTACATACCTGAAAATTTGCCATCATTCAAGATTTTTTCTTTAAAATGATCTCCAAACATACATTTTATGAATTATTTAATTTACCTTAGAAGCACATGAGACTTCCAAAACAAAAAAAAAAAATTATGAGCTAAGAAGAAAAACACTACATGGATTAGATGAAAATTTCTGAATGCAATAGATGCTCAAAAAATTATTGGTCTTAACCCATTAAAATATTAACTGACTTTTTACCATGAAAAATAAAGCTTTGTGGATATATGTTTCAAGCAAGCAAACAAGCAAAAAAAAAAAAAAAATTATTTAATGAAGAGGAAAATCAACTCTCCATAACTCCTGCTGAAAGGAATAGTTATACAGTTCATCAATGAATGTAAAATTAAACTTTAAAACTAATAGGTTTTAAGACATTAGTAGATTTATTGCCTTATAACAAAATACTAAAAATTAAAAGCATAAATTTTGTAAGTAAAGATACAGCAAGATGTGTAATGAGAATGAAATTTATAACATTAACATATTCAGTCACTGCACAAACTATTTTTGCTTCTGAAAGATCCAAGGAAAATAATAGTCTTTTACAGCACAGTACCACAGAGTACAGTGGAACCTCGACTTAAGAGTTTAATGTTCCATCACCTAGCTCGTAACTAAATTTGCTTTTTTTTTTTTTTTTTTTCTTCAACAAGTCGGCCGTCTCCCACCGAGGCAGGGTGACCCAAAAAAGAAAGAAAATCCCCAAAAAGAAAATACTTTCATACTTGCTTGTACATATATCAAATCAATTTTCCTCATTTAAATTAACTGAAATCCGTTAACGTTAATCCGTTCCAGTGGAATTCCTGCTCTCGGGAGGCAGGACAAAATACTTCAATATGATGCTAATATCAACTCTATGGCTTATTTATCTATCACATTTCATCTGACATAATAAACAATATAAATAACATAGAAATATTACATATATACACTCTAGAATGAATAAAATATGTCATTACGTATATGATGAGCTGTGATGGCCATTGCTGCTCCTGCACTGACCATGCTTCCCCTTCAGAGGTCTTATTATAAGAGAAAATGGAGAGGCTAACTGCACTAGAACACTAGTTTCATAAAGGAAACACTGAAACAATGTATTTATAAATAAGAAATATTGTATAAAAACATAATGGAGAATGTAAAGAAATAAACTGGTTATATAAAGTGTACGTACACACTTACATGGGAGCAAAGATGCTGGCAGTGGTGGAGGGTGGGATAGGCAGAGTGACATATGCTGTCAGTGGCCCTATAAACCCCAACAACAAAGATAGGCAGAGAAGATTGGAGGAGTTTGTTTCGTTTCATGCTTTTTCTATCACTTAACTTACTTGCTATACTTTATCAACTCCTGCTTTAATATTATACATATGGTAGAAGTACTATACTGGTACTATGTGGCCAAGTTCACAACCCGCATACCGAGCTTGTGTTTATCTATGATTTTCTGCTTTACTTCCATAGACATCATCCTCTTTCTCTTCTCAGCACTGTCCTTTGCACTTACCTTCTTAGGACCCATGGTTAGAAAACAGAAACTTGGCAAAATAACTATAAAATGCAAGCAAAACAAATGCTTCCACAGTGACATGCACTGCCTGCTCAGCTGATGTTGTGGCGTTCGGAGCACTAACTAGTGACGGTGTTCTGAAGCTTGCTCGTTATTAATACGTATTATTATTACGTATTATAATTATAAGAAATTATTATTTATTTAGGGAACTGGAGCACAGATCCAATAATAATAACAACGAGCGAGCTTCAGTTCCCTAAATTAATAATAATAATAATATTACTATTACTACTACTACTAATAATAATAATAATAATGAGGAGCTTCAGAACACCGCCAATTCAGTGTACTGTTTACCTCGCTGTGGAAGCATTTCTCTCATGTTTTACTTGCATTTTGTAGAGTTATTTTGCCAAATTTCTTATTTCTAACCATGGGTCCTAAGAAAGTAAGTGCAAAGAAGAGTGCTGAGAAAAAACTAATGATGATGTCCATGGAATTAAAGCATGAAATCATAGATAAACAAGCGGTATGCGGGTTGTGGGTTGAGGGGGTCGAGGTTCTACTGTATTTGACATCTTACTTTAACCCTTAAATTGTCCAAACGTAGATCTACGTTTACCTGTGTAGCGCTTCAACCTTGATTTTCTCCATTTGAAAGCATGTAAAAAAAAAAAAAGCAGATCTACGTTCGGAGTGCTATGTGAGCGAATGTAGATCTACGTTTGGACAGTTTAAGGGTTAAAAACTGAGACAATACAATTATATATATATATATATATATATATATATATATATATATATATATATATATATATATATATATATATATATATATATATATATATATATAAAAAAAAAAAAAAAAAAAAAAAAAACACTAAAGTCCAATTTACTCACGTTTCATATTTACTTTGAAGCAGCAAACTGACAGGTGGAAGCAGAGCCGTCAGCAGATCCAAGTTCCATATTGACCTACATATCAAAGCAGCATTATTGCAGATATTTAAAAAAGAACTAATAGCTAATAAAGAATAAAACAGACATGGAAGAAAGTATGGGGTGGAACACTGAGGCATCTGTGGAAACAAAAAAAAATGTCATCCATGAAGGCAAAATGTTATAAACACTGTTGTATGGGTGTGAAGAATGGGTTTTAAAAGTTGAAATGAGGAGGGAGCTGGAGGCAGTGGAGATGTCATGTTTGAGAGAAATGTGTGGTGTGACTTATTATACAGACAATTCAGAGCTTGAAGATTAGAAGGGGCAGGGCTACCAAATATATACTGTAATTTAGAGTGCTAAGGAGGGGTTGTTAACCCTTTGAGGGTTTTCGTCGTACTAGTACGTCTTACGCGTAGGGGTTTTTGACGTACTAGTACTCATAAATTCTAGCGGCCTCAAATCTAGTGGCAGAAAGCTGGTAGGCCTTCATATGAAAGAATGGGTCTATGTGGTCAGTGTGCACAGTCTAAAAAAAATCCTGCAGCAAACAGTGCATAATGAGAAAAAAAAAACTTTGACCATTTTTTTTTAATAAATCAGCGACTTTGCAGTGTATTTTCGTATGGTATTTATTGTTGTATTCTAGTTTTCTTAGTCTCATTTTATAGAATGGAAGACATATTACAGAAATTGAGATGATTTTGACTGGTTTTACAAAGAAAGGTGCCTTGAAATTGAGCTAAAAGTAGCAGAAATGTTCGATTTTTACCAAACTTCAAAAGTAAACAAATCGTGCCAAGCGTGCAATACACGTCAACTGGTGAGTCTAATATTCTTTCACAAGTGCACCAATAATATTTATACCATTTTTTACACTAATGCAGTAGTCTGCATAACAGTAAATCTTATATTTTTTGTGAAAATAAAAATTCAAAGTGGAAAGCAAAAGAATATAAGAGGGGCCTTGAGACGTGACTCATGACTAGAGGAAGTGTCATTTTAGTGCCAGGAATGTTTTTTTTGTTTATTCTGGACCCTATTCGGAAATTGGCACCTTTTGAAATTTGTGTGAAATTGGCAAAATTGCTAAATTCTGACCACTGTACTGGATAGTTGAATTTCATAAATGAGTGGTTTCTTGCACCCATTCGATAGAAAAAATGGAGTTCTAGCGAAATATTCATGTTTTTTGTCGACTAGTACAGTGAAATTGGCCGAAAATGGGGCTCAAAGTGGGCAAAATCGCCGATGCGTAAACATCGCCGAGACCGCTAACTTTGCGAGAGCATAATTCCGTAAGTTTTCTATCAAATTTCAAACTTTTGGTGTCTTTATGATCGGGAAAAGATTCTCTATCTTTTCATAAGAGAAAATAATTTTTTTTTTTTTTTTAAATTTGGCCGACCCTGAGAACGAGTTTCGGAGAGGGCCTGTCGACCCTCAAAGGGTTAAGGAAGTTTGAACATTTAAAGGATGGAGCAAATAGGATAATTAAGGTATGTAGGTGTGTGTGTGATGGTAAAAAGTGCTGAATGATGAAAGTTTTTTTCTTTTTGGGTCATCCTGCCTCCATGGGAAACAGCTTATGTGTTAAAAAAAAAAATTGTTCACTACAACAGTTATTTACTCACAAAATCATAACACAACTGCACACAAATCAGGTTCTAACCCACAGCAGGCGAGTCCTATAACTCACAAGCCAACCATACACTGGTTAGCACACTGGCTTGTGAGTTTTATGACTCGCCTGCCATGAGTTCAAGCCTCGTCTGTTTCTGTGATCCGAGTTATTTATCACCAAAACATTGCATTTATGTTTTTGAGGGGGAAGGGTGACTGGCACCATATTTTTAGGTAAGTATTGTAAGTACTGTGTATTTACTTTACTTTAGTATTTGTTTTTTATGCCTAGCTGTATTGAGCCCTTAATACATGAAAGTGTAAACACATTATCAGGTGTTTTAGATGCATTCAGTATTGAAAAGCCACTCTTTTCAACCCACCAGCAATTTTAGCTTACTGTCAGGGGTTGGGAACATAACAGCTGCAGAAACGTGGCACTCCTGTAATGATGATATATTTGTCACCCCTCTTAAAAACATGTACAGTGAACCCCCGGATTATGCAGTCATTGGAATTCATAACATTCGGAATAAGTAACGGTTTTTCGGCAAAATACTGGCTCGGTGATCGTCACTGAACTTGGTACAAGTCATTCGTCCGGAACATGTCCATGTGGCCTGAGCAGCCCCGACACTCCATGTACAGCCAGTGTGCAATTGTTCGTCAGCCAGTGAGAACAATCCCACGTGTTCATACAATACATTTTGTATTATTCCATTCTCTTAAGTGCTTGCAACTGCTAAATAAGCCACCATGGGCCCAAAGAGTTCCTAGTGCCAGCCAGCCCTTTGGTAAAGGGCTGAGAGAGAAGGGAGAATATGCCTTTTTCAGTGATTCTGCAATATGTACAATACTAAAGCAACAGGAGTCGATAAAAGCTATAGCACCAGCCAGTGATAAAGCGTAGCAAGTAAGTTAAGCGATTAATCGATAGAAAAAGGACAGCACGAAACTGACTCCTCCATTGGTGTTGGAGGTATATAGGGCTACTGACTAACACCGCCGCCTCTGCTGCTGCCTTCACCTCCACTATGTTAGGCTTATCTTTCAGTGGCCCTTATACACCCAACAACACACCACAACTCGTGACATTCTTAATGCCATATTTTATTAATTTTAGAATATATATCATGTTTCTATGTTATTAATGTTGTTTACTATGTCATATTAGATTAATTTTGCTAGATAAATAAGCTGCAGAGCTGATATTAGTGTCATATTGAAAGGCTATTTTGTCCTGTCTCCCAACACAATTCTTAACATATGCCAGAAACAGACCCCTCTGGAACACTTTCTTGAGCGCCAGGGGTCCAGTGACTCTCAAGCTGGTCCTAGTAGCATTACAAAACAAAGAAGGGAAGTAACCCAGGATAAGGACTTGGTACCTGAAGTCTTTATGGAAGGGGATTCCCCCTCCAAACAATTGTAATCTCCTCCATCCTCTCCCCTCCCCCAGTCTTCCATACATTACTATGTCTTCACTAAAGGTAAGTCTGTTGTTATTATGGTTTTATTCTTCATGTATCATTGTTTTCCGTGTAGGTAAATGTATATTTCACGTATAAAACATTTTTTTTTAATACTTTTCGGTGTCTGAAACAGATTAATTGGATTTCCGTTACATCTTATGGGGAAAATTAATTTGGAATTTGTCAGATTCGGGTTTAGTCACTCTCTCTGGAACAGATTAATTACGAAAACTGGGGGTCCACCGTACATCCAGAAGTCTAGCCATCAACCTTTTATTTACTATTAATAGTCTAACAATCATTATGCCATATATCATATGTACTTATTTTTCCTCTTCTGAAAATACATATGTCTACCAAAGATGGCCAACTTACGGTCTAAGATTAATGATGCCTAAAAGATCCACAAGAAGTGCCTGATCACCAGTGTTGAGGGCATGATCCACAGCAGTCTTAAGATCTTTACTTTGCCAAAGCTTGTGTGTAATCTGCAAGCCTCTAGACCGAGCACTTATGACGGACATCATGGAGGAGTGACCTCGCATAATGCTAGATAACACTTCCTGCTCAGACATTTCAGTGCCTGCAATGCCTGTTAGGCCATTTCTGCCAGTGCTTACATCCAAGCCCAAGCTGCTAAGTTTGTTCTGGTAAAGAAAAAGAAATACATTGGTTAACTGCAGTACTTGACAAAAAATGTGAAAGAAAACTGACATTTAATTTAGTCTAAACTATACCATAATTATACATTTCAAAGGACAAAAACCAAAATATTACCATGTGATATATGGCATATAGATAAGAAAGTGGTAAATCTTAGTAACTAAATAATTATTATTCTGGGAAAGGTTTAAGTTTTTGTTACTGTGTATAGTCATCCATACAAATTCACTGGGTTCCATACTTGGTAATTTCATTTACCTCACATTTTTACTGAAGGACAACCCAGTGAACAGATTCAATTATTTAATATTCTCCTGGCTCAGTACCTTTCCCACACCTAAATCTTCATTTTATTTTGTTCATTATTTCTTGTGAATGTCAATATTAACTGTCTGTGATATGAGAGATGTGGTCTCTTAATACGAAATGAACCCAAATTAGAAACAAAATGTTACACAGACTTAATTTTACATTATTGAAAGTTTGTATTTTTGCTGGACCTCCAGGTGTGCAACCTAACAGAAACATGTACTAACAACTGTACAGCAGCGTGTCAGCCAATTTATGAAAAACATTTGACGAGACCTTAAGTACAGCAGTACCAACATAGACCTGAAGTCTATTTAGTCATTAGATCATACAGAGTTGCATAAATTTCAATGATGAACAATTTACAGCTTGGCAAAGGAAATATTTATTAACAAAATAATACCTCTGATACAGTCTACATACTGCATCTTTTTCAGAGAAATAAAATAGGAATAATTACATCAAGCTAATTTTAATTTCAAATACAGTATGTATACTCATGACCACATTTTTTTATTTAAGAATTATCATTGGTAAATGGTGAAACTTACAGGCAAAAAGTCATCAAAGTTGATACTTTTATCAGTTGGTATACTTGAAAAGGCAGAGGAATAATCAATTTCCTTTAAGCCATCTTGATGATAACCATAATCAGGTGGCTCCTTCGTTGTGCCCAAGTAGGAGATCTCAGGACTTGTTGTCTTCGGCGCAGTCATGTACCCCACTTCTGTGCTCTGGGATGCATGAGGACGTGGTGTAGGTCTCACTAGGGCTGGCCGATCCATTGGCTTTGAGTGTGAAGTGAGATCCGGTTTAGATGATGCCTGAGTTCTGCTTAAATTAGTGAGATCTGGTCGTGCCAACTGTGGTAAACTTGGTGCTGAGTCATGGTAAGCAGGTGAGCTTGCTGGAGGACCTGGAGATGACGACTGCCTCACCAAATGTGGTTCTGACGGACTATGTCTGATGTGATACCTGTACGAGAGCATAAAAATTAAGAAAACTCGTATGGATTTTTTTTGATATTAGTAATGAGGAAGAAACTTCAGAAAGAGGTTAGAGTAACTTTTTCTCTAAATCATAATCTTTGAGATATCCTACAAGCTCAAATACTTAATCTAACCAAAGGAGGTTAAATTGCCCATCCCCAAAATTGTGTATAGGCATATTATACCTTGTCAAAAAAATTTCAGTTTCAAGCAAAATTTAATAAGGCAGTTTATAATTTAGACAACAGTCACTGTTCTTGTTAATAATTTCTGCAGTAATTGCCAAATTATGGTCCTTATGTCCATATATAATTAAGGCTGATGTAAGGCAGCTTAGACACAAGCTTATCATAACTCTCCCTGTCAAACACCCAGTTACTTGCTGCTCACCACAACCCTTTCCTTTATACCAATGGCCTGAGCATTTGTTTACCCCACACTAACTCTCCCTGTCACAAACCCAGTTACCTACTGCTATAACCACAACCTTTCCCTTCACACTACTGGCAGACACATGTGCTTACCTGCACCAACACCACCCTTGTCACACATCTAGATACCTGCTACACACTCACCACTGCTCTCTTCCACTACAGTTTAGACATACAACTGCCATCACTACACACAATCATCCCACACCACATGTCCAGGTGACTGCTACATTCACCAAAGCAGTCTGTTTTTATTTATTTTATTATCACACTGGCCGATTCCCACCAGGGCAGGGTGGCCCGAAAAAGAAAAACTTTCACCATCATTCACTCCATCACTGTCTTGCCAGAAGGGTGCTTTACACTAGTTTTTAAACTGCAACATTAACACCCCTCCTTCAGAGTGCAGGCACTGTACTTCCCATCTCCAGGACTCAAGTCCGGCCTGCCGGTTTCCCTGAACCCCTTCATAAATGTTACTTTGCTCACACTCCAACAGCACGTCAAGTATTAAAAACCATTTGTCTCCATTCACTCCTATCAAACACGCTCACGCATGCCTGCCGGAAGTCCAAGCCCCTCGCACACAAAACCTCCTTTACCCCCTCTCTCCAACCTTTCCTAGGCCGACCCCTACCCCGCCTTCCTTCCACTACAGACTGATACACTCTTGAAGTCATTCTGTTTCGCTCCATTCTCTCTACATGTCCGAACCACCTCAACAAACCCTTCCTCAGCCCTCTGGACAACAGTTTTGGTAATCCCGCACCTCCTCCTAACTTCCAAACTACGAATTCTCTGCATTATATTCACACCACACATTGCCCTCAGACATGACATCTCCACTGCCTCCAGCCTTCTCCTCGCTGCAACATTCATCACCCATGCTCACACCCATATAAGAGCGTTGGTAAAAACTATACTCTCATACATTCCCCTCTTTGCCTCCAAGGACAAAGTTCTTTGTCTCCACAGACTCCTAAGTGCACCACTCACTCTTTTCCCCTCATCAATTCTATGATTCACCTCATCTTTCATAGACCCATCCGCTGACACGTCCACTCCCAAATATCTAAAATACATTCACCTCCTCCATACTCTCTCCCTCCAATCTGATATTCAATCTTTCATCACCTAATCTTTTTGTTATCCTCATAACCTTACTCTTTCCTGTATTCACCTTTAATTTTCTTCTTTTGCACACCCTACCAAATTCATCCCCCAATCTCTGCAACTTCTCTTCAGAATCTCCCAAGAGCACAGTGTCATCAGCAAAGAGCAGCTGTGACAACTCCCACTTTGTGTGTGATTCTTTATCTTTTAACTCCACGCCTCTTGCCAAGACCCTCGCATTTACTTCTCTTACAACCCCATCTATAAATATATTAAACAACTACGGTGACATCACACATCCTTGTCTAAGGCCTACTTTTACTGGGAAAAAATTTCCCTCTTTCCTACATACTCTAACTTGAGCCTCACTATCCTCGTAAAAACTCTTCACTGCTTTCAGTAACCTACCTCCTACACCATACACTTGCAACATCTGCCACATTGCCCCCCTATCCACCCTGTCATACGCCTTTTCCAAATCCATAAATGCCACAAAGACCTCTTTAGCCTTATCTAAATACTGTTCACTTATATGTTTCACTGTAAACACCTGGTCCACACACCCCCTACCTTTCCTAAAGCCTCCTTGTTCATCTGCTATCCTATTCTCCGTCTTACTCTTAATTCTTTCAATAATAACTCTACCATACACTTTACCAGGTATACTCAGCAGACTTCTTCTTCTTTCAACGTACCAGCCGTATCCCACTGAGGTGGGGTGGCCCAAAAGAAAAAACTGAAGTTTCTCCTTTTAAATTTAGTAATATATACAGGAGAAGGGGTTACTAGCCCCTTGCTCCCGGCATTTTAGTCGCCTCTTACGACACACATGGCTTACAGAGGAAGAATTCTGTTCCACTTCCCCATGGAGATAAGAGGAAATAAACAAGAACAAGAATTAGAAAGAAAATAGAAGAAAACCCAGAGGGGTGTGTATATATATGCTTGTACATGTATGTGTAGTGTGACCTAAGTGTAAGTAGAAGTAGCAAGACTTAACTGTAATCTTGCATATTTATGAGACAGACAAAAGACACCAGCAATCCTACCATCATGTAAAACAATTACAGGCTTTCGTTTTACACTCACTTGGCAGGATGGTAGTACCTCCCTGGGCGGTTGCTGTCTACCAACCTACTACCTACACTCAGCAGACTTATCCCCCTATAATTTTTGCACTCTCTTTTATCCCCTTTGCCTTTATACAAAGGACCTATGCATGCTCTCTGCCAATCCCTAGGTACCTTACCCTCTTCCATACATTTATTAAATAATTGCACCAACCACTCCAAAACTATATCCCCACCTGCTTTTAACATTTCTATCTTTATCCCATCAATCCCGGCTGCCTTACCCCCTTTCATTTTACCTACTGCCTCACGAACTTCCCCCACACTCACAACTGGCTCTTCCTCACTCCTACAAGATGTTATTCCTCCTTGTCCTATACACGAAATCACAGCTTCCCTATCTTCATCAACATTTAACAATTCCTCAAAATATTCCCTCCATCTTCCCAATACCTCTAACTTTCCATTTAATAACTCTCCTCTCCTATTTTTAACTGACAAATCCATTTGTTCTCTAGGCTTTCTTAACTTGTTAATCTCACTCCAAAACTTTTTCTTGTTTTCAACAAAATTTGTTGATAACATCTCACCCACTCTCTCATTTGCTCTCTTTTTACATTGCTTCACCACTCTCTTAACCTCTCTCTTTTTCTCCATATACTCTTCCCTCCTTGCATCATTCTACTTTGTAAAAACTTCTCATATGCTAACTTTTTCTCCCTTACTACTCTCTTTACATCATTCCACCAATTGCTCCTCTTCCCTCCCGCACCCACTTTCCTGTAACCACAAACTTCTGCTGAACACTAACACTACATTTTTAAACCTACCCCATACCTCTTCGACCCCATTGCCTATGCTCTCATTAGCCCATCTATCCTCCAATAGCTGTTTATATCTTACCCTAACTGCCTCCTCTTTTAGTTTATAAACCTTCACCTCTCTCTTCCCTGATACTTCTATTCTCCTTGTATCCCATCTACCTTTTACCCTCAGTGTAGCTACAACTAGAAAGTGATCTGATATATCTGTGGCCCCTCTATAAACATGTACATCCTGAAGTCTACTCAACAGTCTTTTATCTACCAATACATAATCCAACAAACTACTGTCATTTCGCCCTACATCATATCTTGTATACTTATTTATCCTCTTTTTCTTAAAATATGTATTACCTATAACTAAACCCCTTTCTATACAAAGTTCAATCAAAGGGCTCCCATTATCATTTACACCTGGCACCCCAAACTTACCTACCACACCCTCTCTAAAAGTTTCTCCTACTTTAGCATTCAGGTCCCCCACCACAATTACTCTCTCACTTGGTTCAAAGGCTCCTATACATTCACTTAACATCTCCCAAAATCTCTCTCTCTCCTCTGCATTCCTCTCTTCTCCAGGTGCATACACGCTTATTATGACCCACTTCTCGCATCCAACCTTTACTTTAATCCACATAATTCTTGAATTTACACATTCATATTCTCTTTTCTCCTTCCATAACTGATCATTCAACATTACTGCTACCCCTTCCTTTGCTCTAACTCTCTCAGATACTCCAGATTTAATCCCATTTATTTCCCCCCACCGAAACTCCCCTACCCCCTTCAGCTTTGTTTCGCTTAGGGCCAGGACATCCAACTTCTTTTCATTCATAACATCAGCAATCATCTGTTTCTTGTCATCCGCACTACATCCACGCACATTTAAGCATCCCAGTTTTATAAAGTTTTTCTTCTCTTTTTTAGTAAATGTCTACAGGAGAAGGGGTTACTAGCCCATTGCTCCCGGCATTTTAGTCGCCTCATACGACACGCATGGCTTACGGAGGAAAGATTCTTTTCCACTTCCCCATGGACAATAGAAGAAATAAAGAAGAACAAGAGCTATTTAGAAAAAGGAGAAAAACCTAGATGTATGTATATATATATGCATGTGCGTGTCTGTGAAGTGTGACTAAAGTGTAAGTAGGAGTAGCAAGATATCCCTGTTATCTAGCGTGTTTATGAGACAGAAAAAGAAAACAGCAATTCTACCATCATGCAAAACAGTTACAGGTTTCTGTTTCACAGTCATCTGGCAGGACGGTAGTACTTCCCTGGGTGGTTGCTGTCTACCAACCTACTACCAGTCTAGTGGGCGGATAACATAAGTAACGAATGGTGTGTGATATGATGGGCATCAGTTGACTAAGATTTTGAATTTTTGTAAATGACATTATAATGCTAGTAGAGACCTACAGTAAATAAAGACTATGTTTGACCAGTTACAATAGTGTGTTTGGTTTCTGGAAATTTAAAGGTCAAATCTTTAGCTATTAACCTTTTCACTGTCGAGACCCCTACTCACAAACTTGACCTCGGTGTCAAAGAATTAAAAAAAAATCTTATGAAATGAGAGAGAATCTTTTCCCGATGGTAATGACACTAAATTACAAAAGTTGATGGGAAACTTACAGAACTGCGCTCTCATGAACTTAGCAGGCTTGGCAATATTTACACAATGGCGATTTCGCCCACTTTGAGCCCTATTTTCGGCCAATTTCATTGTTCCAGTCGACCAAACTCATAGCTATTCGCTAGAACTCCATTATTCTATCAATTGAGTACAAGAAACTGCCCATTTACTGATTTCAACTACCCAATAAAGTGATCAGAAATTGGTAATTTAGCCAATTTCATACACAATTCAAGGTCAATTTAAAAATAGGGCCAGAATTAACAATACAAACATTCCTAGCACTAAAATAAAGTTTTCTCTGTTCACTAGTCACATCTCTAGGCCCCTCTTACATTACACTTGCTTTCCATTTTGAATTTTTATTCACACAAAAAATAGAAGATTTACTGTTATGCAGACTACTGCATTATTGTAAAAAATGGTATAAATGATATCAGCACATTTGTGAAAGCATATTAGACCCACCAGTTGACACGTATTGGACGCGTGACATGATATGTTTACTCTTGAACATCGGCAAAAATTGAACCTTTCTGCAACTTTGAGCTCAATTTCAAGGTACTTTTAGTCTATAAACCATTCAAAATCATCTCTATTTATGTAATATATCTTCCATTCTATCAAGTGAGACCAAGGAAACGAAAATACAACCATAATTACCATACGAAAATACACTGCAAAATTGGTATTTTAAACCAAAAACACGGAGTTTTTTTCTCATTATGTACTGTGTGCTGCAGGACTTTTTATACTGCGCACACTGACCACTCAGACCCATTCTCTCATATGTAGGCCTACGAGCTTTCTCCTGCAAGATTTGAAGCCGCTAGAATTTTGGCGTAATATTATGGCACCAACACTGGCTTGCAAGCCGTAATATTACGGCGCCAACAGTGAAAAGGTTAAATAATATGTACAGTAATTTAAGGAAACAAAATAGGGATCCAATTATCCAACATATATTTTATACAAGAGAACAATATCAATAAGTTAACCCTAATTTATTCACTGATAATAAAGGATGGACAATGAGCAAGTTTTTTTATATTGTATATTTACCAGCAAATAAATTTAGCATTGAATTTTTTTTTTTTCAACAAACTGGCCGTATCCCACTGAGGCAGGGTGGCCCAAAAAGAAAAACAAAAATTTCTCTTTTCAAATTTAGTAACTTATACAGGAGAAGGGGTTACTAGCCCCTTGCTCCGGGCATTTTAGTCGCCTCTTACAACACGCATGGCTAAGGGAGGAAGAATTCTGTTCCACTTCCCCATGGAGATAAGAGGAAATAAACAAGAACAAGAACTAGAAAGAAAATAGCAGAAAACCCAGAAGGGTATGTATACAGGTCTCCCTCAACATTCGCGTTTTCAACTTTCGCGGGCTTCACACATTCGCGAATTCCCAGCTGCCAAATTCCCAGCCTCCAAATTCCCAGCCGCTAAATCATATGTAAGTTTCCCGCCACCTGCGAGTCCCTACCACCCTCCCTCCGACCCCTGCAACTGGCAGCCAGCCCTCCCACCAGTGTGGCAAGTGTTTTTGTTCATTATTTGCTATTAAACTACAGTATAAATAATGTAAACCCATTCATGACTGCATATTGGAATGGCTATTTGGACAGGTATTGGATGGTGACATCATGTGTTTGCTCTTGAACACAGCAAAGAATCAAACATTTCTGCTACTGCTAATAATAACAATAATAATAATAATAATAATAATAATAAATGCGATAGAATTGAAGAAGGAAATTGTACAAAAATGTGAGGGAGTTGTTGACACATCGTCAGTGTGGCTTTGTTTATGCTGGAGTGAGCATTAGTCTCTGTGCTCTTCCAAACATTTCACAATAATTCATTGTGTTTGGTGCTTGTAGATTGAGTGCGACTGGAGTGGTAGAGGCAGTGGTTGAGGAAGCAGTTGAGGCAGTGGGCGAGGCAGCAGTTGAGGCAGTGGGTGAGGCAGTGGGTGAGACAGCGGTTGAGGCAGTGGGTGAGGCAGTGGGTGAGGCAGTGGGTGAGGCAGCGGTTGAGGCAGTGGGTGAGACAGCGGATGAGGCAGTGGTTGAGGCAGTGGTATTTAATAACATACATGTTAATAATAATAATAATAAATGTTAATAATATGTATTATTATTATTTATAACATGTTATTAAATACCACTGCCTCAACTGCTGCCTCCACCATTGCCTCAACTGCTGCCTCAACCCCTGCCTAAACCGCTGCCTCTACCAGCACCTCAACCGCTGCCTCAACCACTGCCTCAACCACTGCCTCAACCACTGCCTCTACCACTGCCTCTACCACTGCCTCTACCACTCCAGTCACAGTGAATTATTGTGAAATGTTTGGAAGAGCACGGAGACTAATGCTCACTCCAGCATAAACAAAGCCACACTGACGATGTGTCAACCACTCCCTCGTATTTTTGTACAATTTCCTTCTTCAATTCTATCACATTTATTATTATTATTATTACTATTGTTATTATTAGCAGTAGCAGAAATGTTTGATTCTTTGCTGTGTTCAAGAGTAAACACATGATGTCACCGTCCAATACCTGTCCAAATAGCCATTCCAATATGCAGTCATGAATGTGTTTACATTATTTATACTGTAGTTTAATAGCAAATAATGAACAAACAAAACACTCACCACACTGAGTGGTGGGAGGGCTGGCTGCCAGTTGCCGGGGTGGGAGGGAGGGTAGTAGGGACTCGCAGTGGTTGAGGAAGTGGTGGAGGCAGTGGCATTTAATAACATACATGTTATTAAACCATAACATATATGTATTTAGTACAATTTACAGACGTTTTCATGTATTTTATGATTGTTCATGGTTCAACAAGTTAAGGAAGCAGTATTGTATTATATTTCCCTACAATATTTTGGGGCACCAAACACTCGCAATTTTTCAACATTCGCGAGGCTCTTGATCCCCTAACCCTCGCGAATGTTGAGGGAGACCTGTATATATGCTTGTACATGTATGTGTAGTGTGACCTAAGTGTAAGTAGAAGTAGCAAGACGTACCTGAAATCTTGCATGTTTACGAGACAGAAAAAAGGACACCAGCAATCCTACCATCATGTAAAACAATTACAGGCTTTCGTTTTACACTTATTGGCAGGACGGTAGTACCTCCCTGGGCAGTTGCTGTCTACCAACCTACTACCTAGCATTGAAATGTATATATAAAAAAAACAGAAATGTAAAAAGATTATTAAAGAGTAACGGGAAAAAAGCAAAGACCTGATTATCTGTGTGGCACCTAAATTTTTTTTTTTTTTTTTTTTTTTTTTAACAAATGGGCTGTATGACACCGAGGCAGGGTGACCTAAAAGAAGAAAAATTAAAGTTTCTCTTTAAATTTAGTAATTTATATAGAAGGGGTTACTAGCCTCTTGCTCCTGGCCTTTTAGTTGCCTCTTACAACACACAGGGCTTACGGAGGAAGAATTCTTTTCCACTTCCCCGTGGTGATTATTAAGATATCCACTTTAATTTGATGCAGACAATAAGAAGGTAAACATGTGGGACAACAGGTATATTTTGCTACTTCTACTCACACTTAGGTCACACTACACATGTATGTAAATGCATATATATATACACACCCACCTGGGGTTTTCTTCTATTTTCTTAATAAATCTTGTTCTTTATTTCCTCTTAAATCCATGGGGAAGTGGAAAAGAATTCTTCCTCCATAAGCCATGCACGTCATAAAAGGCGACTAAAATGACGGGAGCAAGGGGCTAGTAACCCCTTTTCCTGTATACATTGCTAAATTTAAAGAGAGAAACTTCCGTTTTTCCTTTTGGGTTACCCTGTCTTGGTGGAATACAGCCAGTTTGTTGAAAGAAGAAAGAATAGGAAGGTATACATTTAAAGTTTGCAGTACTCACCTGTTTCCTTCAGTTTCGTAAGGTGCACTGGAAGTGTCTCTGGTGTCTCTTCTGCTTTCCGACACAGCACGTGCTCTGTATGGCTGACTCAAGTTTGGACTGGCACTGCCACTGAGTGTGTAGTCTCTAATTGGGTCATAACATTTGGTTGGGATTAATAATTTTTGTTTTTTTGTTTAACATATCGTCTGTCTCCCACCGAGGCTGGGTGACCCAAAATAGAAACACTCTCACCATCATTCACACATAATCACTGTCTTTGCAGAGGTGCCCAGATATGACAATTTAGATGTCACTCCAAACAGCCAATATCCCAAACCCCTCCTTTTAAGTGCAGGCATTGTACTTCCCACCACCAGGAATCAAGTCCAGCTAACCGGTTTCCTTGAATCCCTTCACAAAATATTACCATGCTCACACTCCAACAGCTTGTCAGGTCCCAAAAACCATTTGTCTCCATTCACTCCCATCTAACACACTCATAACTAGTAAGACCTTTGATAAAATTAAGATAAAGGTTTCAGATACCTTTAAATTAATTCAGAGCAAAAGAGAAATATAAAGGTGCAAGCACATATGAGTAAGCACAGATATGTAAGGATAAAATAGAAAAACAGATAAACAATACACATCCTATAATACTGCATTACCTGTGAGGAGAAACATAGGCAGACTGTTCCTGAGTAGAGCCACGTCTTTCATACAGACTGGGAAAACTGGTGGGATTTGTGGGAGGCGACACTGGCTGGTTACCATTATCATATCTATGGGCATAACAAAAATAAAGTTGCATTCTCCAAAAAACAGCAAGACTAAAGCACTGGTGAATGGTGCAAATATATGTGCAGTGTCTTGGAAATATAGTACCTAAAAAATTGCAAAAAGTGCTAACCAAAGCTTTGAAAACAAACAAGTGGGCACCAAACATGTGTTTTGCTATGCATGTGAACAAAAACATAAATGTCTCGGCAATGAAATACAGTGGACCCCCGGTTCGCGAAGTCATCGGTAACCGATAAATCTGGTATCCAAAGCATTATATCACAAAAAATTTGCCTCGGTTCCCGTTACAAAACCCGGTACGCGATACGATTCGTAAGAGACGTGTCCACGTGTGGCCTGGACTGCCCCGTGTGTGCCAGTGTTTACAAGCCAGCCAGTGCGCGTGCATCTAAGGATACATTCGGTACATTCCATATTATCACTGTTTTTGGTGCTTGTTTCTGCAAAATAAGTCACCATGGGCCCCAAGAAAGCTTCTAGTGCCAACCCATCGAGACCAAGGGTGCTAATGACTATTGAAATGAAGAAAGACATAATTGCAAAGTATGAAAGTGGAGTGCGTGTGTCGGACCTGGCCTAGTTGTATAGTAAATCCCAATCAATCATCTCTACTATAGTGAGCAGGAAAATGGCAATCAAGGAAGCTGTTCTTGCAAAAGGTGCAACTGTGATTACAAAACAGTGATCGCAAGTGTTAGAAAATGTTGAGAGACTGTTATTGGTGTGGATAAATGAAAAACAGATAGCTGGAGATAGCATCTCTCAAGCGATCATTTGTGAAAAGGCTAGGCAGTTGCATGAGGATTTAATTAGAAAAATGCCTGAAACTAGTGGTGATGTGAGTGAATTTAAGGCTAGCAAAGGTTGGTTTGAAAGATTTAAGAACCGAAGTAGCATACATAGTGTGATTAGGCATGGTGAGGCTGCCAGTTCAGACCAAAAAGCAGCTGAAAAATATGTGCATGAATTCAGGAAGTACATAGAGGCTGAAGGATTGAAACCTGAACAAGTGTTTAATTGTGACAAAACAGGCCTGTTTTGGAAGAAATTGCCAGCAGGATTTACATTACTCAGGAGGAAAAGGCACTCCCAGGACATAAGCCTATGAAAGACAGGCTTACTCTGTTGATGTGTGCCAATGCTAGTGGTGATTGCAAAGTGAAGCCTTTATTGGTGTATCACTCAAACTCCCAGAGCATTCAGGCAAAAGAATATTCTCAAGGCTAATTTGTGTGTGCTGTGGAGGGCAAACACTAAGGCATGGGTCACTAGGGACTTTTTCTATGACTGGTTACACCATTAATTTGCCCCCACTGTGAAAAATTACCTAACTGAAAAGAAATTAGACCTTAAGTGCCTCCTGGTGTTAGACAATGCCCCTGGTCATCCTACAGACTTGGCAGAGCAACTTGTGGGGACATGAGCTTCATTAAGGTAAAGTTTTTGCCTCCTAATACCACTCCTCTCCTGCAGCCCATGGACCAGCAGGCCATTTCCAACTTCAAAAAACTGTACACAAAAGCTATGTTTGAAAGGTACTTTGAAGTGACCACAGATACTCTATTGACTCTAAAGAAGTTTTGGAAGGATCACTTTAATATCCTCAATTGTGTAAACCTTATAGGTAAGGCTTGGGAGGGAGTGACTAAGAAGACCTTGAACTCTGCTTGGAAGAAACTGTGGCCAGAATTTGTAGACAAAAGGGATTTTGAAGGGTTTGAGGCTAACGCTGGGAATCCTATGCCAGTTGAGGAATCCATTGTGGCATTGGGAAAGTCCTTGGGGTTGGAGGTTAGTGGGGAGGATGTGGAAGAGTTGGTGGAGGAGGACAATGACGAACTAACCACTGATGAGCTGCTAGATCATCTTCAACAGCAAGAGGCCAGACCTGAGGAAAACTGCTTCGGAGGAGGGGATAGAGAAATTGGCGAAGTTGCCTACTTCAAAGATTAAGGAAATGTGTGCAAAGTGGCTAGAAGTGCAAACCTTTTTTGATGAAAATCACCCTGACACAGCTACTGCAAGCTGTGTTGGCAACCTGTACACTAACAATGTTGTGAACCACTTTAGGAAAGTCATAAAGGAGTGAGAGGTACAGGCCTCTATGGACAGATATGTTGTGTGACACAAGTCCAGTGACTCTCAAGCTGGTCCTAGTGGCATTAAAAGAAGAAGGGAAGTAACCCCGAAAAAGGACTTGCTACCTCAAGTCCTAATGGAGGGGGATTCCCCTTCTAAACATTAAAAACTTTGACACTCTCCCCTCCTCCCATCCCATCAATCATCACCAGATCTTCATTAAAGGTAAGTATCAATTATTCTATTGAGATTATTCTATTGTTATTGTAATTATTCTATTGCATTAAACTTAATATTTCATGTGGTAAAAGTTTTTTTTTTTCATACTTTTGGGTGTCTTGCACGGATTAATTTTTGATTTCCATTATTTCTTATGGGGAAAATTGATTCGCTTTCTGATAATTTTGCTTTACGATGAGCTCTCAGGAACGGATTAATAACGTGAACCGGGGGTCCACTCTACTGTACAGATACATAAATATATATAACAGAGTACAAAGAAAAAATGTACATTTTTTTTTTAATGCATCGGCCGTTTCCTACCGAGGCAGGGTGACCCAAAAAGAAAGAAAAATACTTTCGTCATCATTCAACACTTTCACCATCGCTCATACATAATCACTGTCTTTGCAGAGGCGCTCAGATACGACAGTTCAGAAATCCCTCCAAACTGCCAATATCTCAAACCCCTCCTTTAAAGTGCAGGCATTGTACTTCCCATTTCCAGGACTCAAGTCCAGCTAACCAGTTTCCCTGAAGCCAGTCACAAAATATTACCCTGCTCACACTCCAACAGCTTGTCAGGTCCCAAAAACCATGTCTATTATTACAAATTTTTTATTTAGTATTGGGCAAGATAATTACTATTTAAGACTGTGTGCACAGGAGGATTAATCACCACAAGTACTTATTTTAGTACAGAAATTAACAATAGTAAGAGTTAGAAAACAATCAGAGAGACATATATAAACAGTTTACAATAATTAAATTTCTTGGTTATGTATAATCATTATGGTTCCTCAGTATACTGTACAAAAGGATAAGAAAATGGCTGACCAGCATGAAACTTAGACATGACAGCATGGGACAGACATCGTCACTGTGTGTGCAATGTTGATACTATTATGTGAATTATTGTGATTTATGTAGAGAACTATCTTTTATAAAGGATGACAGATGAAGAGCTTAAAACTAAACAGAAGGGTAAACTAACATTTAAAGATTTGAATCCTGGCATCTTCTTTAAGTCTATTATTATTGCAATCATGGGGGCAAAGGAAGAGTTCTAAACCGACAGCACCTGGGGGATAGGAAGGTAGTCAGATTCAATCCAAGTAAGGAAAGGTAATGCCTAATTCCTTGGAAAAAAAAAAAAAAAGCTCCTCACTGGCTTCAAAAAGTCTCCTTTTAGGGATGAAGAGCTAGTAGATATAGATTCTGAGATTTGTGCTTGGAGAAACTGGCAGTGAAAAAACTGAAAATAGCATTGCAAGAAAATTCTTAAGTGATTTGGAAGTTTTAAAAAACACAAGAACAGGAACAGTATAAAATTAGACCATGATGCAAAACATATTTGTGCATTATTATATTTTGAATGCTGCACATGCCATTTGGTAGGAAAAATGTAAGACATTAAAAAGTATACCAACCTTGGAGTGGCAGTCTCTCTTGGAGTGGCAATTGGCCGAGGAAGATGAGACACATTTTGGGATGATCCCCTTCTAGTTGACTCTGGAGTGGAAGGTCTGGCTGCAGTTGGTGGACTGTGTCTGAGGGGCTCTGGTCGTATCACATCAGGACTGGTCATTACTTGAGGCACCATTGGATCTGTAGTGAATCATTAAGCATAAAAAATAAATATTTGTATTTACTTATTACTGTGCATGCATCATTAACATTAACATTATTAAAAGAAGCTTTCAGACAAAGCTAGTTGGGCTTACAATTCTCATATGTAAGTACTATGTTACTAATAAATCACTTACTAAAATTTTTTCACACCTCCACATATAAAAATCATAAGGATGTTTAAGAGATTAACAATATAAATCATGTTCCCCAGCACATAACCAGGTGCAGGGACACTGCACACACTTGTCACTTTCCATTTGCCAAGTTAAAAGATTATTCCACAGGGAAGCAAACCAATTGGCATAAAACAATCTTGAATTTAAATACAACACTGTATTTATCTGATTTTATGACAATCAGAACATGACAAAACAATAAAAATACCATGTTTATAAAAGGTTTATTATGGGTTTTAATTTGTGTTTTTAATACACTAGGCATTTCCCATCAATAAAGGGTTGATCCACATAAGGAAACTCACCAAAAATCACTCCTTTGCCATCTTACCAGTAGTGCATGAACATCACAATTCTGCCCATTCAAGAGAGATCCTGATGATAGTAGAGCTCTTGATTAATGGAATTGGATCTATCCCTCCCTTAGATCAAACCTGATTATCTCCCATTCCCACACTGTATGACCCCTACATGTTTAGTGCTAATCCCACGAATGATCCACCTAACAGGAACATCCTTCAGGGTGCAGGCACTGAACTTCCCACCAAACACTGTCCAGTTATCTAGTTTCCCAGAATCCAATCATAAATGTTACCTTGCATGTGTGCGTGTGCACATGTGCATACACACCCCTATTCAAATCCCCAAATGAACCCTCTATCCAAGTTTTCCTGGGACATGCTTTACACCTACTTCCATCTCCTCCAGTTTATATGCACTCTTGGCAAGCCTGTCTTACTCCATTCTTCCTAAATGACCAAACTACCACACCAACCCCAACAATGTTAAATGACTTGGGCCTCTCATGCCACCACACATCTAATTTTTACACTTCTTTGATAAAATTTACACTACATATTAATATATATAACATCCTAAGACTTAACCTAAAAACAATATTTTTACTTAAAAGGGCTTCACCTGATAATACACAAGCTGAAATGACATATTCTTGAACCTCAAATTACTATTCAAAAATATGTTTAGCAGCCTTTTTTTTTGCCAACTTTATACAGCAACGTGATTTGTTTCTGCCATTCTTAAGTGGTGTAAAAGATGGCTGAAGGTTACACATATTACCCATAGTAGACCCTGAGAGTTTAAGAAACAGAATTTAACATTAAATGCTTTTTTTTTTTTTTAACCATAATAGTTATTTTCCCACAAGGGTAGGAGACTATTAAAAAAAAAATCACTCAATAGCTGTCTTGCTAATAGTGCATGGGCATTACAGTTCAAATGCCCTCCCAAACATTATATTATTCCTACCCACCCTTACTTATATAGCAAAATGAAATGACTCAATGAAGACACATCACACCTCCCTCTTGCTCTGACAGCTTGAACACAAAAATACCATACCTTACAGCACTGTGTGCTGCATTAACCCTGTCAAACTAACATTTTTTTTGATAAAGTAATGCTTCACAATTTAAAAAACCAAATAATGGAGACAAGTGGCTTGGAGTGTGAGCAAGATAACTTATATAAAAGGATTCAAGGAAACTGATTAGCCAGGACAGAGTCCTTGAAGTGGGAAGGGCAGTGCCTGTAATCTGAAAAAGGGATGGGGGTGGTATAATCAGAGGGTATTCTGATTGTGACGTTGGCACACTTCTGGAAAGATGGAGATGGAATGAATGATGGCGAATGTATTCTCTTCTCTGGGTCACCTTGCCTCGGAAGCAGTTAACAAAAAACAATTTTCAAAATCTCTCACAAAATGTTAAAGTATTACACATTCGAAGATATTCTCCTCAGGCTTACACTCCTAACAGCCTCTTTCTTGGCAACATAAGGGCTTCCAGCCACCCCTACACTATTTATTAAAAATCAACAGCATAAAGAAACACAATTTTATTTAAAATTACGAAATTGGGCAGAACTGAAGCTCTGTGTTGTGGAGAATCGGAAATGCTGACTGACATTTTATATACATACTGTTCTGGGAAAGTGCATATCAGTTGCTCAAAGTTGAGGACTATGATTCACTATACCTACCATTGTTATTGTTAATGGCAGGTTTGGGCTCGAGCGGGGGTGGTGTTCTCTGTACTGTAATAGAAGCACAACAAATACAACAGTTATGATTAATATTAAAACAAGAAGCCACACAATAATTATCAACAGAGAATAAGCATTTGCAAGACTACAAATCAGAAATCATCTTAAGCTCTCCAGAGTGCTTTCTGACTTCATAATTTGAACTAAAAATAAAAACGCATTCACATGAATAAATTTGTGTGTGGGCACTTTTGAGGTGGCTTAAAGAATTTATCTGAGGTGAGGATAGAGCTGTGATATAACTACACATGCAGAGCCTACTGCCTAATTAACTTTTGGGAACATGCTTATTTGTGAGGAAGGTAGCAATTCAACATTTACATAGAATTCATATGCAAGTAGACAAGAACAACTCTTCTTCTAAAATTAACACAAGCATAAATACTTAAGAATAAAGTTGAAAAAAGAAAAAATGTGATAGGGTAAAATCAAGGCCATTGGAAGACACATGTCAGGGAGGCCTTGGGATTTCAGCAGTTTTAGCAATACAATGGAAGATCTGAGAACTTCAGATATCACAGCAATAATATGAAATGCATTAACAATGTCAATCAGCTACTTTTACTTGAATGTTCAAATCAATGAAGAGTTTAACATGTAAAATACTATTTTTAAAACATCCAAAATTAAAAAAAAAATTATGTACTATAATGCTACTTGCCAATGCTGAAATCCCTTTTTAAAACCAAAAGAACATTAATGATAAATATGACTTACATTCCCGTCGTGTCTGAAATATTCCATTGTAGTCATTAAGGTTAGTGATCTCTGGAGGAGGGTCCTCTTCCTGGGGTTCCTCACCCCCAGTATCTGATGCTTCCTCAGTTTTCATAGACTCTGCCCTGAAAGTGATACAAGATCAAATAAATATTTTTCTTTAGTTTTCCTTATTGTTAACACTCCAGCTTGCCAAGAATTAATCCGTAGCATAGTGACTGCCTTACTCCATATTTCAAACAACCAACAATTATGGTACATCTGAAGGTTTCACCACCACTTGAACAAAGTCAATTATACTTGCAGGGATCCCACAACAGTAAAGGAAAATGGTACAGTGGAACCTTGATGTTCAAACATACTGGACCTTGAACAAACTGGGGTCCGAACAATTTTGTTCAGAAAAAGATGACCCAGTTTTTAAACATTTCTCTGGAATCTGAATGCATTGATTTGTTTAAAATTTTATTGTAAAAAAACATTACATGAAAGCCATGTTGCAAAAGTGCTTTGAAATGCCCTCTGACACTGACCTAACTCTCAAGAGACTTTTGGAAGAGTCAGTTCAGCATACTCCAGTTTGAGGCTGATAATTAAAACCTAGGAAATACTGTGTCAGACATTGAACTTTTCACAGTTCGAACACCACCTAGGTACCAATTAAGTTCAAACATCGGGATTCCACTGTACTGTACTTCTTTGTTTTGTTGTCTTTTATAAGAGATATAGCAAGCAATCTTCATAATTTCATTACTACATACAATGACAGACTGGTATTAGACTCTATATTCAAGAAAATCTTGCCATATGCTTTCTGTAATATTAATGTGTAAATTTTGGTGACTAAATGCCATACAGTTAATCTGCAGGTTATACATAGGAGACGTGCAATGAAAGGAAATTTCACATTTACGACAGATAACAGAAACTAGTCAATAACGTGTGTGGAACAGTTTGCAATTAACTGTCAAACTGACAGTGAAAAGTAGGCAATGTTTCAGTCAGTTAAGGTTGAGTCAAAATGCTGTTTATTTCCATTTTTAATTGATACACTATTTGTGAACAGTAGAAAACCAAGGCAAGTGTTTCTGCAAACTTGTAGCACTAGTAATGTCCCAGGAATTCAGGATATATAAAAAAATGGGTTTCCTCTTTTTTGGGTCACCTTGCCTTGGCAGAAGTGTTAAAGAATGAATTAAAGAGGATTAATGAAGAGAAAATATGAAGTAGACATAGGAAGGAGAAATTAATGTTGGCAATGAAGAACAAAACTTTAAACAGTTTATTGAAGGATGCGAATGAAGACTGAGACATACCCTCTTCAAACACAAGAGTTGAGATTCTATTATTTCATTAAAGTAAAAAATATTTTACAGATTTTAGAAGGTAAGAATAGTCTGGTGTCACTGAATACGTTTAACCCTCTTTTCTAAAATAGTAATGCCCAATGCTTATGGAACAATTATCACTGAAGGCATCTAAAAAAAAAAAAAAAAAAAAAAAAAAAAAAAAATAAAGATTGTAGGAATACACTGTATATATGGAACCTTTTCCAAATCTCCCCTAATACTGCAATTAATATTGTGTCATACAGAAAATATAAGATATAGCTTCCAACTGTATTAATACTTGCAGATATTTTGATGCAGAAGTAAGGTACGTAACATACATCTGCATAAACACTATGTAACTATTACAACCCATTCACTATTAAGGATTTTGCAGCTTACATAAAAGTATGTGAAAATGCAGTAATAACAGATTATGGAAAATACTGAAAAACATTCCCCACGTATTAACTGCTATAAAGCACAAATAACTGCAAACCTTAAAACATAATAGGGAGTATCTTACGTAGCTTTTCCAGAATTTTTATCCTTGCTGAAACTCTTGCGTATGGCTGCACCATATCTGAAAGTTGATGGTACGTCGTGCTGAGGGACTCCGAAAGGCTGAACACGTTTTAAATCCACCACATACAGAGACACATGCACACCATGGAAGCCTGCACCAATCTGTGAAAATTAGTGAAATATTGTTTGTTTGATCAAGTATAAAAAACATTAAATACACACTGGATAATCACTAGTAACAGCTTCCTCTATAACTAACCCTTTCACTGTCGTGGCCCCTGCAATTTGAAGTGATAAAAGTATGGCAGTTTAATAAAAAAATTCTCCTGAAATGGTAGAAAATCTTTTTCTGAAGGTAATGACACAAAAAATGTGATGATTTTGAATATATCACACAAAAATATTAAAACTTTACCCTATTTCTCAGATTAATAAAATATAACCAAGAATGACTGGTCATGGTTTAGGCCATCCCAATAAATGTAGCACAGGTAATAAAAACCCATAAAACAGACCAGGGAGAGCAAGGGGGCCCTACACCTTGGTAAAATTGGCAAAATTCAAACATTTCCACCACTTTGAGTCTTATTTCAAGCTACTTCTAGTTTAAAAATAATAAAAGAAAAGTGAAGAAAGTGGTGAGAGAGTGCAAAAGGAGAGCAGATGACAGAGTGGGAGAGGCACTGTCAAGAAATTTTGATGAAAATAAGAAAAATTTTTGGAGCGAGTTAAACAAGTTAAGAAAGCCTAGGGAATGAATGGATTTGTCAGAAACAGAGTAGGGGAATCAGTAGATGGGGAGATGGAGGTATTGGGTAGATGGCGGGAATATCTTGAGGAACTTTTAAATGTCAACAAAGAAAGGGAGGCGGTAATTTCATGCATTGGCCAGGGAGGTATACCATCTTTTAGGAGTGAAGAAGAGCAGGATGCGAGTGTGGGGAAGGTGTGCAAGGCATTACGTAGAATGAAAGGGGGTAAAGCAGCTGGAACTGACGGCATCATATCAGAAATGTTAAAAGTAAGGGGGGTATTTAGTGTTAGAGTGGATGTTAAGTGAATGTATAGGAGCCTTTGAACCAAGTGAGAGAGTAATTGTGGTAGGGGACTTGAATGCTAAAGTAGGAGAAACTTTTAGAGAGGGTGTGGTAGGTAAGTTTGGGGTGCCAGGTGTAAATGATAATGGGAGCCCTTTGATTGAACTTTGTATAGAAAGGGGTTTAGTTATAGGTAATACATATTTTAAGAAAAAGAGGATAAATAAGTATACACGATATGATGTAGGGCGAAATGACAGTAGTTTGTTGGATTATGTATTGGTAGATAAAAGACTGTTGAGTAGACTTCAGGATGTACATGTTTATAGAGGGGCCACAGATATATCAGATCACTTTCTAGTTGTAGCTACACTGAGAGTAAAAGGTAGATGGGATACAAGGAGAATAGAAGCATCAGGGAAGAGAGAGGTGAAGGTTTATAAACTAAAAGAGGAGGCAGTTAGGGTAAGATATAAACAGCTATTGGAGGATAGATGGGCTAATGAGAGCATAGGCAATGGGGTCGAAGAGGTATGGGGTAGGTTTTAAAAATGTAGTGTTAGAGTGTTCAGCAGAAGTTTGTGGTTACAGGAAAGTGGGTGCAGGAGGGAAGAGGAGCGATTGGTGGAATGATGATGTAAAGAGAGTAGTAAGGGAGAAAAAGTTAGCATATGAGAAGTTTTTACAAAGTAGAAGTGATGCAAGGAGGGAAGAGTATATGGAGAAAAAGAGAGAAGTTAAGAGAGTGGTGAAGCAATGTAAAAGAGAGCAAATGAGAGAGTGGGTGAGATGTTATCAACAAATTTTGTTGAAAATAAGAAAAAGTTTTGGAGTGAGATTAACAAGTTAAGAAAGCCTAGAGAACAAATGGATTTGTCAGTTAAAAATAGGAGAGGAGAGTTATTAAATGGAGAGGTAGAGGTATTGGGAAGATGGAAGGAATATTTTGAGGAATTGTTAAATGTTGATGAAGATAGGGAAGCTGTGATTTCGTGTATAGGGCAAGGAGGAATAACATCTTGTAGGAGTGAGGAAGAGCCAGTTGTGAGTGTGGGGAAGTTCGTGAGGCAGTAGGTAAATGAAAGGGGGTAAGGCAGCCGGGATTGATGGGATAAAGATAGAAATGTTAAAAGCAGGTGGGGATATAGTTTTGGAGTGGTTGGTGCAATTATTTAATAAATGTATGGAAGAGGGTAAGGTACCTAGGGATTGGCAGAGAGCATGCATAGTTCCTTTGTATAAAGGCAAAGGGGATAAAAGAGAGTGCAAAAATTATAGGGGGATAAGTCTGTTGAGTGTACCTGGTAAAGTGTATGGTAGAGTTATAATTGAAAGAATTAAGAGTAAGACGGAGAATAGGATAGCAGATGAACAAGGAGGCTTTAGGAAAGGTAGGGGGTGTGTGGACCAGGTGTTTACAGTGAAACATATAAGTGAACAGTATTTAGATAAGGCTAAGAGGTCTTTGTGGCATTTATGGATTTGGAAAAGGCGTATGACAGGGTGGATAGGGGGGCAATGTGGCAGATGTTGCAAGTGTATGGTGTAGGAGGTAGGTTACTGAAAGCAGTGAAGAGTTTTTACGAGGATAGTGAGGCTCAAGTTAGAGTATGTAGGAAAGAGGGAAATTTTTTCCCAGTAAAAGTAGGCCTTAGACAAGGATGTGTGATGTCACCGTGGTTGTTTAATATATTTATAGATGGGGTTGTAAGAGAAGTAAATGCGAGGGGTCTTGGCAAGAGGCGTGGAGTTAAAAGATAAAGAATCACACACAAAGTGGGAGTTGTCACAGCTGCTCTTTGCCTATGACACTGTGCTCTTGGGAGATTCTGAAGAGAAGTTGCAGAGATTGGTGGATGAATTTGGTAGGGTGTGCAAAAGAAGAAAATTAAAGGTGAATACAGGAAAGAGTAAGGTTATGAGGATAACAAAAAGATTAGGTGATGAAAGATTGAATATCAGATTGGAGGGAGAGAGTATGGAGGAGGTGAACGTATTCAGATATTTGGGAGTGGACGTGTCAGCGGATGGGTCTATGAAAGATGAGGTGAATCATAGAATTGATGAGGGAAAAAGAGTGAGTGGTGCACTTAGGAGTCTGTGGAGACAAAGAACTTTGTCCTTGGAGGCAAAGAGGGGAATGTATGAGAGTATAGTTTTACCAACGCTCTTATATGGGTGTGAAGCGTGGGTGATGAATGTTGCAGCGAGGAGAAGGCTGGAGGCAGTGGAGATGTCATGTCTGAGGGCAATGTGTGGTGTAAATTTATAATGCAGAGAATTCGTAGTTTGGAAGTTAGGAGGAGGTGCGGGATTACCAAAACTGTTGTCCAGAGGGCTGAGGAAGGGTTGTTGAGGTGGTTCGGACATGTAGAGAGAATGGAGCGAAACAGAATGACTTCAAGAGTGTATCAGTCTGTAGTGGAAGGAAGGCGGGGTAGGGGTCGGCCTAGGAAGGGTTGGAGGGAGGGGTAAAGGAGGTTTTGTGTGCGAGGGGCTTGGACTTCCAGCAGGCATGCGTGAGCGTGTTTGATAGGAGTGAATGGAGACAAATGGTTTTTAATACTTGACGTGCTGTTGGAGTGTGAGCAAAGTAACATTTATGAAGGGATTCAGGGAAACCGGCAGGCCGGACTTGAGTCCTGGAGATGGGAAGTACAGTGCCTGCACTCTGAAGGAGGGGTGTTAATGTTGCAGTTTAAAAACTGTAGTGTAAAGCACCCTTCTGGCAAGACAGTGATGGAGTGAATGATGGTGAAAGTTTTTCTTTTTCGGGCCACCCTGCCTTGGTGGGAATCGGCCGGTGTGATAATAAAATAAAAAAAATGTATGAAAGAGGGGAAGCTACCTAGGGATTGGCAGAGAGCATGTATAGTCCCTTTATATAAAGGGAAGGGGACAAAAGAGATCGTAAAAATTATAGAGGAATTAGTTTACCGAGTATACCAGGAAAAGTGTACGGTAAGGTTATTATTGAAAGAATTAGAAGCAAGACAGAATGTAGGATTGCGGATGAGCAAGGAGGTTTTAGAGTAGGTAGGGGATGTGTAGATCAAGTGTTTACATTGAAGCATATATGTGAACAGTATTTACATAAAGGTAAAGAAGTTTTCACTGCATTTATGGATTTAGAAAAGGCATATGATAGTGGTAAGTTATTAAATGCTGTAAAGAGTTTTTATGAGGATAGTGAGGCTCAGGTTAGGGTGTGTAGAAGAGAGGGAGACTACTTCCCGGTAAAAGTAGGTCTTAGACAGGGATGTGTAATGTCACCATGGTTGTTTAATATATTTATAGATGGGGTTGTAAAGGAAGTAAATGCTAGGGTGTTTGGGAGAGGGGTGGGATTAAATTATGGGGAATCAAATTCAAAATGGGAATTGACACAGTTACTTTTTGCTGATGATACTGTGCTTATGGGAGATTCTAAAGAAAAATTGCAAAGGTTAGTGGATGAGTTTGGGAATGTGTGTAAAGGTAGAAAGTTGAAAGTGAACATAGAAAAGAGTAAGGTGATGAGGGTGTCAAATGATTTGGATAAAGAAAAATTGGATATCAAATTGGGGAGGAGGAGTATGGAAGAAGTGAATGTTTTCAGATACTTGGGAGTTGACGTGTCGGCGGATGGATTTATGAAGGATGAGGTTAATCATAGAATTGATGAGGGAAAAAAGGTGAGTGGTGCGTTGAGGTATATGTGGAGTCAAAACACGTTATCTATGGAGGCAAAGAAGGGTATGTATGAAAGTATAGTAGTACCAACACTCTTATATGGGTGTGAAGCTTGGGTGGTAAATGCAGCAGCGAGGAGACGGTTGGAGGCAGTGGAGATGTCCTGTTAAGGGCAATGTGTGGTGTAAATATTATGCAGAAAATTCGGAGTGTGGAAATTAGGAGAAGGTGTGGAGTTAATAAAAGTATTAGTCAGAGGGCAGAGGAGGGGTTTTGAGGTGGTTTGGTCATTTAGAGAGAATGGATCAAAGTAGAATGACATGGAAAGCATATAAATCTATAGGGGAAGGAAGGCGGGGTAGGGGTCGTCCTCGAAAGGGTTGGAGAGAGGGGGTAAAGGAGGTTTTGTGGGTAAGGGGCTTGGACTTCCAGCAAGCGTGCATGAGCGTGTTAGATAGGAGTGAATGGAGACGAATGGTACTTGGGACCTGACGATCTGTTGGAGTGTGAGCAGGGTAATATTTAGTGAAGGGATTCAGGGAAACCGGTTATTTTCATATAGTCGGACTTGAGTCCTGGAAATGGGAAGTACAATGCCTGCACTTTAAAGGAGGGGTTTGGGATATTGGCAGTTTGGAGGGATATGTTGTGTATCTTTATATGTGTATGCTTCTAGACTGTTGTATTCTGAGCACCTCTGCAAAAACAGTGATAATGTGCGAGTGTGGTGAAAGTGTTGAATGATGATGAAAGTATTTTCTTTTTGGGGATTTTCTTTCTTTTTTGGGTCACCCTGCCTCGGTGGGAGACGGCCGACTTGTTGAAAAAAAAAAAAAAAAAAAAAATATGATAGAGTGGATAGGGGAGCAATGTGGCAGATGTTGCAAGTATATGGAATAGGTAGTAAGTTACTGAATGCTGTAAAGAGTTTTTATGAGGATAGTGAGGCTCAGGTTAGGGTGTGTAGAAGAGAGGGAGACTACTTCCCGGTAAGTAGGTCTTACACAGGGATGTGTAATGTCACCGTGGCTGTTTAACCCTTAAACAGTCCAAACAGATGGACGTTCAAATTCGTAGTGCTACAAAAGTAGATCTACTTTTTTTTTACATAATTTCAAATATAACAAAAAAAATGTAGATAGTTTTTTTACGCGTTTTCAAATGTAAAACAAAAAAGAAGATCTACATTTTTTTTGCATACTTTCAGATGTTGAAAAAACTTATATATACGTTTGGACCATTTAAGTGTTAATATATTTATAGATGGGGTTGTAAAGGAAGTACAGTGGACCCCCGGATAATGATCAGCTCCCAACTCAACCAAATATGTAAGTTTATTTTTGTAAGTGCTTTTGTAGGTGTATTTTTAGGGGTCTGAAATGGACTAATCTAATTCACAATATTTCTTATGGGAACAAATTCGGTCTATAACGGCACCTAAACAGACTTCTGGATTGAAATATCGTTATGGGGGGTCCACTGTAAATGCTAGGGTGTTCGGGAGAGGGGTGGGATTAAATTATGGGGAATCAAATACAAAATGGGAATTGACACAGTTACTTTTTGCTGACGATACTGTGCTTATAGGAGATTCTAAAGAAAAATTGCAAAGGTTAGTCGACGAGTTTGGTAAAGTGTGTAAAGGTACAAAGTTGAAAGTAAACATAGAAAAGAGTAAGGTGATGAGGGTGTCAAATGATTTAGATAAAGAAAAATTGGATATCAAATTGGAGATAAGGAGTATGGAAGAAGTGAATGTTTTCAGATATCTGGAAGTTGACGTGTCAGCGGATGGATTTATAAAGGATGAGGTTAACCATAGAATTGATGGAGGAAAAATGGAGAGTGGTGCGTTGAGGTATATGTGGAGACAAAAAAACGTTATCTATGGAGGCAAAGAAGGGAATGTACGAAAGTATAGTGGTACCAACACTCTTATATGGGTGTGAAGCTTGGGTTGTAAATGCTGCAGCGAGGAGGCGGTTAGAGGTAGTGGAGATGTCCTATCTAAGGGCAATGCGTGATGTAAGTATTATGCAGAAAATTCGGAGTGTGGAAATTAGAAGAAGGTGTGGAGTTAATAAAAGTATTAGTCAGACGGCTGAAGAGAGGTTGTTGAGGTGGTTTGGTCATTTAGCGAGAATGGATCAAAGTAGAATAACATGGAGAGCATATAAATCTGTAGGGGAAGGAAGGCAGGATAGGGGTCGTCCTCAAAAAGGTTGGAGGGAGGGAGTAAAGGAGGTTTTGTGGGCGAGGGGCTTGGACTTCAAGCAAGTGTGCGTGTGTGTGTTAGATAGGAGTGAATGGAGACTAATGGTATTCGGGACCTGACGAACTGTTGGAGTGTGAGCAGGGTAATATTTACTGAAGGGATTCAGGGAAACCGGTTATTTTTATATAGCTGAACGTGAGTCCTGGAAATGGGAAGTACGATGCCTGCACTTTAAAGGAGGGGTTTGGGATATTGGCAGTTTGGAGGGATATGTTGTGTATCTTTATACGTATATGCTTCTAAACTGTTGTATTCTGAGCGCCTCTGCAAAACCAGTGATTATGTATGAGTGAGGTAAAAGTGTTGAATGATGATGAAAGTATTTTCTTTTTGGGGATTTTCTTTCTTTTTGGGTCACCCTGCCTCGGTGGGAGACGGCCGACTTGTTAAAAAAAAAAAAAATGTAAATCCAATTAATCCGTTCCAGACACTCAAAAATACATGTATTAACAAAAAATAAATTTTATAGAGAATAACTATAGTGTTGCAGATCTTCAGTGGTTAGCTCTTCCCTGTGGTCGTCTACTAACTTCCACATCCTGGCCACTCACATCCAACCCCATGGACTTTCCCAAAGCCACAATAGATTCCACAACAGGCGTAGGGTTGTCAAGTTTACACTAACTTAAGTTAGTAATAGAACTAGGCATTAAAAATCACAATAAAAAGTATAATACATACACAATACATTCATTATTTACCTTAAAATATTTGTAGCCTTAATGTAGGGTGAGAGGTGGTAGGAATTCAGCATAGGTAGCCTGGGCTACACCTACTGGCTACCTACACTGCGGCCCAGAGCCATATTATTACCATCAACATACCGTGTTCACTGAGTTGAATAGTTTCTAACAACTACCTTTAGATGCCATCATAAACAAAGAGAAAACTAATGAATAACTCATGCCGAGAATTGTAAACAAAAGTGTTATGTATTAAGGGCAGTGACTGGGCCAACACAGATTCATACATGTTTTCTCTAATGCTGGACCAGAGAAAATGTAATGTTTTCCCTCCACCGACTACCACCCTTCCATAGCATATAAACGTTTCATGTTTATATACTATGTAATGTCCTTGGGGTGAAATTTGACTCCAAACTAACCATGAAGAACCATGTTGTAAATCTTGCACTACACAGACCCATTCACTCATGTCTAGGCCAAAATTTTTGCTCACAGCATATTTCAGGGCACTGTACTTAAGGTGGTATCAATTGTGTGGATCTACATATGAGACAGTGAAAGGGTTAAGAGCATACATATTATATGGTGTTGCTTCAATAATAAAAAAAAATCCTCCAGAACAGAAAACACTTGTACAGTGGACCCCCGATTAACGATATTTTTTCATTCCAGAAGTATGTTCAGGTGCCAATACTGACCGAATTTGTTCCAATAAGGAATATTGAGAAGTAGATTAGTGCATTTCAGACCCCCAAACATACACGTACAAACGCACTTACATAATTGGTCGCATTGGGAGGTGATCGTTAAGCGGGGGTCTACTGTATAGTTAAAAACTTACAAATGTTTATTGTCTTTTTAATAGCATCAGCTTATTCTCCAGCTCTCCTTACTCTCTTCATATTAAATACTTACTAAATCTATTATTTTTTATTCTAACACACAAGACAAAAAAAGCTAATGAATGTAGGGGGGTACCTCAATAACATTTATCTACCAATAAGTCGTCACCCTGCCTCAGTGGGAGACAGCCTACGTGTTGGGAAAAAAAATTATTATTCAATTAAATGTAATTTAAGTTCACTGAATACCTTGACTATTAAAATAACTGTTAACCTAATCATCAGATAATGTTTCTGAAGAAACAGATACTGCATATATTGAAACACAAACTGATTAAACTAAATTAATATTAGATTTCCTGTAATTTCTAAATCTGAGCATAGACGTAAACTAACCTTTAAAAAGAATGTAACAAAAAAAAGGGGGAAGGTTTATTCTTGAATCAAAAAAGCATAATGTCATAAAAGTATTAGTACAAACAAAACAGTATTGATGAAAATTTTTGTTCCCCTCTCCCCACAGATTAGTAAGTGGTGTAAATCGCTTCCGTACTTACTAACTGGTTTTGAGCAATAGCAATATCCTGTATCTTGCCCCAGCCCATAGCAACAGTGTCAAAGGTTCGTGCAGGCTCCCAACCATACACCTTTAAGACATCTGGAGATCCCGCATACAAACAGTCACCATCAGGGTGGAAGGCAATTGTTCTGAAATGTAAATTCACTGGATATCAATATATATTTGCAATGCAAATACTAAAGAGGACTATTGGAGTAAATTGAAAACATAATAATGATCAAATATTGAGATGGGTTATCAAGATGGTTTGGACATGTAGAGAGGATGGAACAAAACAGAATGACTTCAAGAGTATATGAATCTGTAGTTGGAGGGAGGGGATAGAGGAGGTTTTGTGTGTGAGGGGCTTGGACTTCCAGCAAGCATGCGTGAGCGTGTTAGACAGGAGCAAATGGAGACAAATGTTTTTTAGGACATGACATGCTGTTGGTGTGTAAGCAAGGTAACATTTAAGAAGGGATTCAGGAAACCGGCAGGCCGGACTTGAGGCCTGGAGATGGGAAGTACAGTGTCTGCACTCTGAAGGAGGGGTGTTAATGTTGCAGTTTTATAACTGTTGTTTAGGCATGTCTCTGGCAAGACAGTGATGGAGTGAATGATGATGAAAGTTTTTCTTTTTCAGGCCACCCTGCCTTGGGAAATGGCCGATGTGTTAATAATAAAAAAAAAATATATTGCAAAAAATATTATTCCAGGCATAGAGAGCTTTCAATGCATTAATTTAATAGTGTAATAATTTTATTTATTTATTTATTTAAAAATTTGAGCACACATACAGAGGTACAAAAAATACAGATAAGAGCAGCATGCCAAAGCCACTTATACTATGCATAGCATTACGGGCTGGCTTAAAATTAACTTAAGATGAACTAAGCAATGATGACATCAGTGATAAAACTTTAATGTAAACAGATTACTATAAAGCACAAGTGAGTATTACAAAGACAGGTCATATGGTTGTATGCATTGTTGTACATCAGTAGAATGGAGTATTCTGTTAGGTAGTGTATTTAAAAATAATAAAGTTAGATTGGGTTTTAGGTTTAACATTTATGTGATATAATTGTGAGAAACATTTAAGATATACAATTTATAAGGTTCAGTTATTCAGTATTTATTTGGTTTTGGGTGAGTAAGTGATCTTTGAGAAGAGACTTGAATTTATAAACAGGTAGTGTTTCTTTTTATATTTACAGGTAATGAGTTCCAGATTTTAGGGCCTTTTATGTGCATTGAGTTTTTGCATAGTGTGAGATGGACACGAGGAACATCAAAGAGTGATCTGTGCCTTGTGTTATGGTCATGTGTTCTGTTGAGGTTGGCAAGGAGATGTTTGAGGGAGGGTTAATATCAGAGTTAAGTGTTCTATGTATGTAATAGGTGCAGTAATAGTATGGATGTTTTGTATGGTGAGTAGGTTTAGTGTATTGAATATTGGTGGAGTGTGCTGCCTATAGTGAGAATTTGTTATCATTCTAACTGCAGCCTTTTGTTGGGTAATTAGTGGTCTGAGATGGTTACTTGTTGTTGAGCCCCATGCACAAATTCCATAGGTGAGATAGGGGTAAATAAGAGAGTGATATAGGGCCAGGAGGGCTGACTGTGGAGCATAGTACCGTATCTTCGATAGTATGCCTACAGTCTTGGAAATTTTCTTAGAAATTTGTTGTATATGTGTATGAAATTTGAGTCTATTATCAAGGTGGATTCCTAAGAATTTCCCTCTGTTAGCTTTGTGATAGGTGATCCGTTTATCATTATGTTAAGAGGGACATCTGTAGCTCTGTTCCCAAAAACTGAATGAAGTAGGTTTTGTCAATGTTTAGTGTAAGTTTGTTAGTCCTCATCCAGGTAGATATTTTCTGTAATTCGGTATTTACAGTATTGGCTAGCGTGACTGGGCTCGGGTGGGAGAAGACGTATGTAGTGTCATCTGCAAATAGTGTGGGTTTGAGTAATTGCGAAGCATTTGGTAGGTCATTTATGTATAGGAGAAAGAGAAGAGGGCCAAGGACACTTCCTGTGGGACACCAACTGTAATTGGTTGTGCAGAAGAGTTTGCCCCATTTGCATACACATATTGGCTTCTGTTGCTGAGGTATGACTTGAGGTAGTTGAGGGAGTGCCCTCTTATACCATAGTGTGACAATTTTACGTGGAGCAAGTCATGGTTAACTGTATCAAAAGCTTTACGTAAGTCAATGAAGATCCCCAGTGGGACTTCTTTTTTCTCTATTGCAGTGTATATATGTTCTAGCATGTGTATAATAGCATCATTAGTATTTTTATTTGGCCTGAATCCAAATTGGCAGGGGTTGAGTATGTTTTGGGAGATAAGGTAGGAGTAGATTCGTTTATGAATTAATTTTTTGAAGATTTTTGAGAGAGGATAAAATTAAAATTTCCTGCATTAAAGAAATTATGATAGAAAAATAGAAAGAGACAGGTTGACTGAACATTCCTGAAATATAAAAAAACTTTTGATACGGGGCAACACAGAATGCTACTTAACAAATCGGAAAAGTAAGCCAGGGTAAGAGGAAAGATATCAAGATAAATAAGTGGACACAAGAACAACAGAAAACAACAACCTATCCTATCCCTTCCCATCCATTATCTCTACATGTTGTGCAAGAATGGTATACAATACCGACAAGATGAAATTAAGACATGTGCAACATCTGGGTACCTTTATTGTACACGTTTTGCCATCTAGTGGCTTTATCAATACAAATTCCAGGACATAATCTGAAGACAGTAGAACTATATACAGAAGATGAAGTAATCAGTCCCTCAGAACTATATACAGAAGATGAGGTAATCAGTACTTCATCTCCTGAGGGACTGATTACCTCATCTTCTGTATATAGTTCTACTGTCTTCAAATTATGTCCTGGAATTTGTATTGATAAAGCCACTGGATGGCGAAACTTCTACAATAAAGATACCCAAATGTTGCACATGTGTCTTAATTTCATAATTTTATCTCTACATGCCCAAACCAATTCAACAACTTCTCTTCAAATTCTGAAGAGGTCAATATGACCCAACCATGCCTTTTAATTTCTACACTCCAAATTCCCCGTGTGATATTCACACTACACAGTGCCCTCAAACATGATGCCTTCAAGGCCTCTACCACCTCCTCACTGCAGCGTTAAAAACACATGCCACACACCCCTATAAAAGTGTTGGTAACACTATACCCTAGTACATTCATGTTTTTGCCTCTGAAGATAAATATGTACACTAATTACAAATAGGTAATTACAGACACTCATACACATGCCAAAGACTGCAGTAAGTTGAATTGTCCAACCTTTGCTCTTGACAAGAAATTATGCAATTAGCAAAATGATATATTAAATTAAGGCAGTGCAAATAAGCAAGTGCTCATCAAATTTAGTACTGCAACAGCAAGATAATCATTTGGAATTGGAACTTGCAGGATATAGAATGCTACATTGAGGAAATAAAAGAAAAGGGTTCACCCTACAAAAGCAAATGGACAATACTCATTGTGTTTAATAAAAAGTAATGAAAAGTAGGAGCACAGAAGCTCCCTTTACATTATGAAATTACTTTCATTATAATGCATGTTTGTTATAAAAAAATTGTTGCATCTTAAAAAAAAAACATAGGCATAAAGTGAAAAATTATTTAACCAACGATAAAAAAAAAAAAATATATAAACTTGCTGCCACTCGTACATATAATATACAGAAATTCCTGAAGATGTAAAGAAGGATCAATTTTAATGGCAGTAGACAAGAAGGAAAGTGATACTGTAACTGCAACCTCAATACTTGTTCTAGAGGACAAGACTACACTAGAAAATACAGTGGAACCTCAAAAATCGAACTGCTCCCAACACGACCAATTATGTAAGCGTATTTTTGTAAGTGCTTTTATAAGTGTATTTTTGAGGGTCTGAAATGGACTAATCTAATTTACATTATTCCTGATGGGAATAAATTCATTCGGTAAAGGCACTCAAACAGCCTTCTGGACCGAAGAAAGTTCGATATTTGAGGTTCCACTGTACTAATGATAAAATATTATAACTGCAAAATCATCAGTAATTTGACATTACATACATTATAGTGCTATGAATATAGAAATATAAATGTAGAATTTTGGCAGAAAAACTTTTTTATATAATCTAGGTTGCACAGTGTACCAAACTTGAGTATCTCTATGGCTCCCCCTCAAAGCTGCTGAGAAAACTTATTACAGAAAGCACTAGTGGGCACAAAAAACTAATACAAGTTCACTCAGGACAAATTTACTAACCTAATGGGCCCAGTATCAGCATCAGTAGCAGATACCAGTGAGAATTTTTCCAGGTCCCAGAAGTTGACAGTCCGGTCATGAGATGCAGATGCCAAGAGAAATTCATGAGGGTGAAACTCCACATCACTGACCGGACCCGTGTGCTGAGCAAATTCCGTCATCATCTTGCCAGCACGGAGATCCCATAACTGCATTACAATGTGATTAGTAAATATATTCCAATATACCATCATCTAAGTAATACAGTATAATTAATCTTAACACACTAGCTCGGATATCTCCCATAAAAATTGGGCGATAAAAAAAAAAAAAAAGAATTCACCATCACTCATTCAATTGTCAACTTTCTAAAAAACAAAAGAACTAACAATTCAATTGACCATCCAAACTGCAACATTCCAACCCCTTTTTCAAAGCACAGGCAATGTAATCCTATGTCCAGGACTCAATGGGGTAACCAGTTCCCTGGATTCCTTCATAAATGTCAACTTCCTTACAATGCAACAGTATATCAAATCCTAAAACCTACTTGTCTTCGTTCATTCCAATCTAACACACAAAACAAATACACACACACATGGGGCCAGAAGCTGAGTCTTGACCCCTGCAACCACAAGTAGGTGAGTATGTACGTATATACATACGTACGTGCGTGCGTGCGTGCGTGCGTACACACACACACACACACACACACACACACACACACACACACACACGTGTATATATGAATGTACAAGCCCCTACCACTCAAAACCTTCAACCCTTCCTAGGATGACCCCCATTCCTCCTTCCATTCAGGAATCACACACCACCTTGGTCATCCTATTTTGCCCAATGCTCTCCTTAATGCCCAAACCACCACAACAACCCCTCCTACACACTGAATTATACTTGAAAATTGTACAAAAATGGTATGCAATACCGACAAGATGATATTTAGACACATACAACATCTGGGTATCTTTATTGTAGACGTTTCACCATCCAGTGGCTTTATCAACATAAATTCTAGGACATAATTTGAAGACAGTAGAACAGAAGATGAGGTAATCAGTCCCTCAGCCTTAGAGTTGGTGTGGAGAGCACCGTGGTCTTGGAGATTCTGGAGCAAAGGCAAGGAGGACATGTACATAACCTCCTACTACAACTAACCCATCTCTTTGGGTCTGACCTACTTCCACTGGGGAATCTTGCCTACCAGTGACTATGCCCTCGTCTGTTACACGTCCCTTTTCACCTGGCATTAGTATGTAAGCGCTGGCCTCCTTACCTTTGCTCCAGAATCTCCACGACCACGGTGCTCTCCACACCAACTCCAAGGCTGAGGGACTGATTACCTCATCTTCTGTATATAGATCTACTGTCTTCAAATTATGTCCTAGAATTTGTACTGATAAAGCCACTGGGTGGTGAAACGTCTACAATAAGGATACCTAGATGTTGCACATGTGTCTAAATATCATACTTGAAAATTCTAAGCCACTTAAAATTATTTGCTAAAACTTTTCTAGATAGTACATTAAAAGTAAAACAATTTGTAACATCTCAATGAAATAAAGCATTGGTTTTATAAAGGAGATATTCATTTTTCTATAGCACTGTCTGCCTTGCCCTATATTTCACAGTTATGATTGTGGTCCACCTCTAGGTTCAAGTGTGAGGACACAGTCTTTGAGAAGTAAATAAAATGGCTACAAAGAAGAAATACTGAGCCTTGTCCTCAAGGCTGTTTCAATATTCTGTTTTTCCTACCACCCCACCTTTTATACATTTGTACACATATTATATTACCATAATATAAATATGAAGGAAGATCTGAAGGGAGGGAAGGGGTAAAAGAGGGTTTGTATAAAAGGGGCTTGGAAATCCAGCAGGTGTGTGAGAGCATGTTAGATAGGAGTGAGCAAAGGCAAGTGGTTTTTATATCTTGACAGGCTGTTGGAGTGTAAACAAGGTAACATTTATGAAGGGAATTAGGGTAACCGGTTAGCCGGATTTGAGTTCTGGAGATGAAAAGTACAGTGCCTGCACTCTGAAGGAGGGGTGGGGATACTGCAGTTTGAAGGAGTATCTGAACTGTAGTGACCATGTGCCTCTGGTAAGATGGTGATGGAGTGAGTGATGGTGAAAGTATTTCTCCTTTTTCAGGTCACCTTACCTCAGTGGGAGATGACTGGTGTATTACAAAAATACATAAATACTACTGACATACTTTACATGACCCATAAAAATTCATTGACAGAATGTGACTAACTGGCATTTAGACTTATCAAATACAGTATGTACATTAAAGCAACATACTGTATATATTCATCTACTTACAATTCATGTACAACCATTTGATGAAACCTTTTTACTACACGTTCAATAAAGATAAATTTCAGTTATTCAGCAATGGAAAAATTTTAGAAAATAAAAACTGGATCAGAGTATGAAAGAAACTCAAACCACTCAACAGAGTAGAAGATTAATGTGAGGAACTTAAGAATGATGTCAGAGGATCAGAGGCTGGATAACTAGAACCTTCAAAATATGAGAGGTCAAGCCAATGATGATAAGAGTCACTTGTGCTAACAGCTTTTTTAAGGCAGGCAAAATTACAGATCTGGAGAATGTCGAAACCCTTCACTGACTGCATAAATTCAATAAAGCACCTAAATTGTTGGGAATGCCTAAACTTTCTCAATATGTTTATGACAAGCTCATTCCTTTTTTTTGGTAAACATTCATCAACAATTAAAAAAATACAAGAATCAGAAATGGGATATTATTGTCCCAATCCCTATCTCAAGTTATAACATGGCCTGCTACTGAAAAAGGATATTCATCTAACACATTTTTCACTCGAACAACCTTTTCTCCAGTCCTAATCAAGGTCGTTAAGCAGGGGGTCCACCTTATTATTTTATAAAACAAATTTGACAAAAAAGTACTATGTTTGAATTGGATTATAGTATTTAGAAAACGATAAATGTTTCTGCAATCTTGATTCATGAATGACAAGCCTGAAATGAAACAGCTTCTGAAAATTCAAATAATACTATAAATATGTAAAACACCATATGTCCTGACCTTAACATTACAGTCTTCCCCAGCTGAAGCAATCCACTGGCCATCTGGAGAGAACTTGAGACTATTGACTGTGAGATTGTGACCCTTATAAGTAAAGATGCAACCTTTCCGTCTAATATCCCATAACTGCAAGATAAAGACAAAATTATAAAATTTACAAGACCAACAAAATAATGAGTATAAACCCACATTATTATTATTATTTATTACTATAAGAGTACATTAAAAAAGTGCCAAACCACACATGCCACACAGCTCTTTATGCTGTAATATTTTTTTTAGTGTGGATCAATAGCTCAGTCTAAACATTATGATATGCAGACATATTGTGGTATTTTATACTGTACATTAATACACTTCCTTCCCAATGTTAATACAATAGTTTAAGATTTCATAAAAGTAAATCTTTGGATGGCAGAAAATTCTTGATATAATAGACTAATAAGGGAATTATCCAAGTGCTTGTTAAGTAAAAATGTTAAAAAAATAAAAATAAAAGCACTTCAGAACTCTGTTGTATAAATTAGACATGTGCAATAATTGGGTATCTTTATTTTCTTACAAAATAAATATACCAAGATGTTGTACATGTGTCTAATTCATCAACTTGTCAGTACTGTAAGAACGTTAGAATTGAGGAGCACTGCATCAGGCCTATTGGCCCATACTCAAAACCAACCATTCCCACTGTGTGCAGCTAGAGAAATACAGCCAGATTACTACTGTTCATGGTGCCTTCAACAGTCACCTATTTGATTGTTTTTACACTGCCATGATGGTGGTGGTTAAAAGGATGGGACAGTATACCATAGCTCCATCACAGTTTTAATTTATTTTGGCACTCCCTGAGAAAGTCTTGAAATATAGACAAAGGCTTGAAGCTTGACTTCATATACCTGTGGCAATGTTGAAAGAACAACTGTGGAAAGAAAATAAGGGACATTAACATATAAATTCAGGAAAAGTGTAGTTAAAAAAGAATATGAGAAAAGAATTTGGAGTAAAGAAATTCTTGGAGGTTTTAAATGAATGTTAGCAAATTCATATTGCATGGTGTAAACTGAGTTATACCTAGAGTATACATGGAGAGGGTTTTGGGGATCAACACCCCCATGACCCAGTCTGTGACCAGGTCTCCTGGTGGATCAGGGCCTGATCAACCAGGCTGGTATTACTGGCCAACATATAAACCTGGCTGATCAGGTACTGAGTTACGTATAAGAATTGATTTTAACTATGAAAAAAAAAAGAGCACTTAGACCCCCCAATCTTATGAGTACTAGCTCCCCCCCCATCAAAATTATCAAAATAACAAAAAAAAGTATCTGAGCAAACATTGCTGCCTGCTTAGTGTGTAACTAGTGTTGGGTTGAAGAGCTGAAGCAGCCCTGAGAGTATCTGAATCCTAACTACTGGGAGATTCAATACCAATTTGTTTTGTATACAAACTATTTATTCATATTAACAGTTGTATTTAAATAAATCAGCAATACTGTGGTGATTGTGGTAGTTTATTTACTACTATTAGTACAAAACACAAGAAGAGAAGGGAGATGAGAATGAAGGAAGAAAAGGATGAAGGAACAGAGGAGCAAAGGGACAGAGGAGAAAAGGGATAGAGCAGCAGAGGGAGGAACAAAAGGAGGGAGGAGCAAAGGAAGGAGAGAGAGAGGGAGAGTACTCGCATGTAAACAAGCAACTGCAGCAGCAGCTGAATCATGCACACTTTTTACTAGAAAAAAAAAATTGATGCATAAAGTATATGCAGTATTGGTTTTACACTCAATTTCCCCTAATTTCAACCCTGATTATACGAAGGGAAAGAAGCAGAAGGTATATACCATCAATACTGGTGATCCCTCAGACAGGATCAAAACGTATGCACTCGTAACTTGCTTATATATCAAAATATGAATTTACCAACTCTAATTATGCACAATGTATTTAAAGTAGGCACTGTATTGACATTACGTATATCCACTTTCCTTTCATTAAACCCTGAATATGCATATAAAGGTAAATTGTGGTTAAATAAAACTCAACAAAGTCTCTCAATTTGGTGAACATAATGTCAAGTATTCAAACAGTTTAGCATTGTTAGGTAAAAGGACACATGTGCAGCTAATGTGACATTTTTATTGCGGCAATGTTTCACACAGCAATAGGCCTACTGGTTCATGCTAGGCAGATGCAAGTCTCACCCAACCATATAATGAATGGTATACAATACCAACAAGTTGATAAGTCAGAAGTGCAACACCAGGTATCTTCATTGACGAAACTTTCTGCCTGCCCTGCAGGCTTCATCAGTTGAATACAGAGACGGATTACAATCCTGGAGACAGTAGAAAGGAAGAGGTAGTTTGAGGTAATCAGTCCCTCAGCCTTGTTGGAGGATAATCAGTCTCTTAGCCTAAAGCAGATGCATGTGACCAGAGACTTGAATACTGGGAAGTGAGGTGTAGAAGCTTGAAGATGTCTTCAACTCTATTACTAACAACTGTTTAGCTTGACCCACTTCCACTCTAAGTAAATAACAGAAGAATGGACTTGATTCAAACAGTGGTCCTGTACTATAGAGTCACAATGCTTACCATAGGAAGATTTTACAGACAGAACTCTGTGACTGGCTTATATCAGAGGAACCAACTTATACTCTTCTATCCCCACAGCACCAGAAGCTTTCATGATGCATCTATTCTCATATACCTCTAAGCTACATAATCTGAAAACTCGGATATGTCAAACTGAATGACTGCCAATGAATAAACAGAAGAATGGATATAGGCTTGAACCATAGCCTTTACATATAGAAGGCCCAATGTTGTACCAATGCTGGTGCTGCATTGGGCCTGCTACATGCAAGAACCATGGTTCAAGCCCCCATTCATTCTTCCGTACGATGAAAACAAGTTCAACATCTGGTTGGTTATATTCTGAAGATGTTTCATAACAGATTCCCTGATGTTGCACATGTGTCTTATTCATCAACTTGTGGGTATTGTATACTACTACTGCTACCATTTTTCTCCTTATTCATAGAATCGTTCACTATGAATTGTATAATATAAAATTCAGACTTGTTAATATATATATATATATATATATATGTCGTGCCGAATACGCAGAACTTGCGATCTTGGCTTAAATAGCAACGCTCATCTTGCCATATAGGAAAAATGAAAATTCGTGTATGCAATAATTTCGCCAAAATCATTCTGAACCTTACGAAAAAAATATATTCGATTGTGTTTATTTAGTACTAAATTACTGTAACCGTATTTTAAATATATTTAGTTGGGTTATGTTAAAATAAATTTGCTTTTGTTATAAAAAGGGTTAGGTAAGTTTTCTAAGATTCTTTTGGTGCAAAATTAAAATTTTTTACATTAACATTAATGAGAAAAATATATCTTTAAACGTATAGGAAAAAATTTAGAAAGGACTTAATTTTAAATGAGTTCTTGCTAATTGACCAGTTTTACATATTCGGCACGACCATAATATATATATATATATATATATATATATATATATATATATATAAAACAACACTGCACTAGCCAAGGAGTCGAACGCATTTATGCTTTAGACCACTAGACCACAGGACTGTGTGGGGCCAAAACAGCATGCTTCGACTCCTTGGCTAGTGTAGTATTGTTATTGATCAATACCACTTGTTCTGTGGGTACAATAAATAATAAAAAAATAAATATATATATATAATATATATATATAATATATATATATTAATATTATATTTTAAAATTATATATATGTCATGCGAATATGTAAAACTGGTCAATTAGCAATAACTCATTTAAAATTAAGTCCTTTCTAAAATTTTCTCTTATACGTTTAAAGACAAAATTTTTTTTTCATTAATGATAAAGTAAAAAAATTTTAATTTTGCACCAAAAGAATCTTAGAAAACTTACCTAAACCCTTTTTTTAACAAGAACAATTTATTTTAGCCCAACCTAAACTAAATATATTTTAGATTTGTTTACAATAATTTAATAATAAACAAACACAGTGAAATTTTATTTTTTTCGTTAGGTTCAGAATGATTTTGGCGAAATTATTGCATACACAAATTTTCACTTGTCCTATATGGCAAGATGAACGTTGCTATTTAAGCCAAGATCGCAAGTTCTGCCTATTCAGCACGACATATTATATAATATACATTATACAGTGGACCCCCGCATAACGATTACCCCCGAATGCAAAACCCAAATTTTGTAAGTGTATTTATGTAAGTGCGTTTGTACGTGTATGTTTGGGGGTCTGAAATGGAATAATCTACTTCACAAAATTTTTTTATGGGAAAAATTCGGTCAGTACTGGCACTGAACATACTTCTGGAGTGAAAAAATATCGTTAACCGGGGTCCACTGTATATTACATATTATTATATATATATTAAAATATATAAAATATAATATATATATATAGGGGGATAAGTCTGTTTAGTATACCTGGTAAAGTGTATGGTAGAGTTATAATGAAAGAATTAAGAGTAGACGGAGAATAGGATAGAGATGAAAAAAGGAGGGTTCAGGAAAGGTAGGGGTGTGTGGACCAGGTGTTTACAGTGAAACATATAAGTGAACAGTATTTAGATAAGGCTAAAGAGGTCTTTGTGGATTTTGGATTTGAAAAAGGCGTATGAAGGGGGGATAGGGGGGGAAAGTGGCAGATGTTGCAAGTGTAGGGGGTAGGAGGTAGGTTACTGAAAGCAGTGAAGAGTTTTTACGAGGATAGTGAGGCTCAAGTTAGTGTATGTAGGAAGAGGGGAAAATTTTTTTCCCCAATAAAAGTAGGCCTTAGACAAGGATGTGTGATGTCACCGTGGTTGTTAATATATTTATAGATGGGGTTTTTAAGAGAAGTAAATGCGGGGGGTCTTGGCAAGAGGCCCCGGAGTTAAAAGATAAAGAATCACACACAAAGTGGGAGTTGTCACAGCTGCTCTTTGCTGATGACACTGTGCTCTTGGGAGATTCTGAAGAGAAGTTGCAGAGATTGGTGGATGAATTCGGTAGGGTGTGCAAAAGAAGAAAATTAAAGGTGAATACAGGAAAGAGTAAGGTTATGAGGATAACAAAAAGATTAGGTGATGAAAGATTGAATATCAGATTGGAGGGAGAGAGTATGGAGGAGGTGAACGTATTCAGATATTTGGGAGTGGACGTGTCAGCGGATGGGTCTATGAAAGATGAGGTGAATCATAGAATTGATGAGGGAAAAAGAGTGAGTGGTGCACTTAGGAGTCTGTGGAGACAAAGAACTTTGTCCTTGGAGGCAAAGAGGGGAATGTATGAGAGTATAGTTTTACCAACGCTCTTATATGGGTGTGAAGCGTGGGTGATGAATGTTGCAGCGAGGAGAAGGCTGGAGGCAGTGGAGATGTCATGTCTGAGGGCAATGTGTGGTGTGAATATAATGCAGAGAATTCGTAGTTTGGAAGTTAGGAGGAGGTGCGGGATTACCAAAACTGTTGTCCAGAGGGCTGAGGAAGGGTTGTTGAGGTGGTTCGGACATGTAGAGAGAATGGAGCGAAACAGAATGACTTCAAGAGTGTATCAGTCTGTAGTGGAAGGAAGGCGGGGTAGGGGTCGGCCTAGGAAAGGTTGGAGGGAGGGGGTAAAGGAGGTTTTGTGTGCGATGGGCTTGGACTTCCAGCAGGCATGCGTGAGCGTGTTTGATAGGAGTGAATGGAGACAAATGGTTTTTAATACTTGACGTGCTGTTGGAGTGTGAGCAAAGTAACATTTTATGAAGGGATTCAGGGAAACCGGCAGGCCGGACTTGAGTCCTGGAGATGGGAAGTACAGTGCCTGCACTCTGAAGGAGGGGTGTTAATGTTGCAGTTTAAAAACTGTAGTGTAAAGCACCCTTCTGGCAAGACAGTGATGGAGTGAATGATGGTGAAAGTTTTTCTTTTTCGGGCCACCCTGCCTTGGTGGGAATCGGCCAGTGTGATAATAAATAAAAAATATACATTATATATATATATATATATATATATATATATATATATATATATATATATAATATATATATATATATATATATATATATATATATATATATATATATATATATATATATATATATAATACTAAAGTATGGAGGTGAGGGAGTAGACTAACCTTAATATTAGTATCAAGGGAGCCGGTACCAATGAAGTCTCCATAAGGGTGGAAGTCTATACAGCGGATGTTGGCCTTGTGACCCGTGAGTGTTCGGACGATCTTAGTGGCCTCCAGGTCCCAGATCTTGAGTGCTCCACTCAGTGATCCAGCACACACCAGGTCCTCTGAGCCTCCAAATCTTACACACTCCACAGGTGTCGTGTGCCCAGACAAACTCTGCAGAATAACATTCATATAAATTAAAGAAATTTACTCATCAACACAAAAAAGAAAAATATACACAGTCATATCTGGTACACTTGTTTATGGTTCCTGGAGTCATCGCCCCAGCTGGTCAGTCTCCTACCAAATCTCCTAAATTGAGAAGGAAATATATGAATTAGAGCTATTAAGAAACACAAAGGTAAATCATTTATATGTATATAATATATATTACACACACACACCTAGTAGCGATCAGTGAAGAGGCGGGGCCAGGAGCTGAGTCTCGACCCCTGCAACCACAATTAGGTGAGTACACACAGATCAATTTTACAGGCTAAGAGATGTTATTCTACCTCGGCTCATAGTACCCCCCCCCTCCCTGTCAGTATGGGTCCCACAACAGTCGACTAACACCCAGGTACCTATACTGCTAGGTGAACAGGGGCAGCAGGTGTAAGGAAACATGCCCAAAGTTTCCACCCGGCCGGGAATCGAAGAACGGACACTCACAGAATGTTGGGACACGAAATGTGAAGAGAGAATAGTAGTAGTACTGGCTCACCATGATTAAAACAAAATTAAAAAGATTCACAAGAATAACCAATAGGCTTACTGGCCTACTTGCTAGGCAGCCCCTCCTACCCACCCACTCTCACTTGTTTATTTATCGAGTATTCTTAAATCTACGCAAAATGCTAGCTTCGATGACAATGCTGCATCTCCCTACAAAATGTTCGCTGTGATGACAATGCTACTTCTCACTTTCAGTTATTATTCAGTACACATTGTGTGTGTTACTGTAAACCATACTCACATGTTTGTTTTTGTGAATTCTGTATATACATTACGGCAGCGTTTTACCTGTCTTCCGGTGCATTCAGACTATGGGGGTAGTGGTCCCACAGTTGTGAGAGGCAACAACATCCTGCTCTAAAATCCTTGTTACCTCTAGATTACCCGTGGTCAAATTCAGGGTTCACTGCCCTCACGGTCCAGTCTCAAACCTCCCAGTTCCAATTACTGGTTTTAGCAACCAGACTGGTGATGCCAGCTACATGCATACCAGAGAATACATCACAGTCCGGCTGATCAGGACTGACGAACTTATCACGTTTCCTCTAAAACAGTAAAGGGGGTTATACTTGGAGAGGGTTTCGGGGGTTATAGGTAATTTTCCTTACGCACGAAAATAGTCCATTGAAGAATCTGTTCCCCTTACACTTGTGTCCATATCGTTAGTAATTATGACTATTTTTCCTGAAACTAACATCTTGGCATCTATGAACTTTTAACAGCTAGAGTTTTTATAAGTCCCGAAAACTACAGAACACAAATTCTGGCTTTAACCTGTCAGATCTTTTTGAGAGTATACGAGACTAAACCACACTGGTTATCATAAGTTGTCACCTTTAACACAGTCAATGATGCCAAGGTAACTTATTGATAAATTACTATAAATAATGAACAAGTACCCTAAATTTACTTGTAAGTTACCTGGAAGTTATTTACAGATGATTTTAGGAATCACTGCCCAGTCCCAGACCAGACCAGACCTGGTTAATGGCCTGATCGACCAGATTGTTGGTGCTAGCGTAGGTCAACTTATGCACCACAGCCCGGCTGATCAGGAATTTGTCTAATTTCAAATATATACCCAAATGTATTGATTTTAGGACATGGGTTTTAAGCCTTTTGTATATCCTGGGTTTTTCTACCCCTTAGCACTTTTAATATACCTTTGATGGGTTCCATGAGTTTTCTCGCATCCTGGCTCTGAACCAGGCTTGTCTGGTACTTGCCTGGCCAACGAGACTGTTGCTGCTGGCGGCCCACTTGCCCACATATCCATCACAGCCTGGTTGATACAACATTTGGAGGAGGTACTTCTTGAGTCTCCTATTGAAAAATTCTATACTTCGCCCGGCACTATTTCTGACATCTTCTGCCAAGATGTTAAACAACCTGAACCCACGGATGTTGATATAATGTTCTCTTGTGCCCATTGCGCCCCTGCTTTTCACTGGGTTTATTTGATTTCTCCCGTATCTCTCACTCGAGTATAGTTGTCATGGAAGTGTAAGGACTTGGGACTAGGTCCTGAAATACCTTCCACGAATACTGGTATATTATTTTTGCACTACCGTCCACAGGATGAATATGAGGTGCACAATAAAGTATCTACTTTCTACCCGGAAGGAGTGAAACAGTGAGACCAAATACGGGAGTGAGAGACGACCACTGGTGGAGCACCACGGGGTACCCGGGACACCCTTTGCCACCACATTTACGTGACTTGCTTCATCAGCCAATAAAACATTGACCACGACTTTTTCCAACAGCTTTACCACAAACTCGTATTTTAAAAACCGGTGAACAGTTTAAATTTACTATAGCCATGACAAATTGGGCTGGATTAATTAAAAACATTTTGAAGAGTCGACACAAAACTTAAAACGTATAGTAGCTTTGGATACATTTAAATTTATAACTAATTCTGATGGACGACCAAGACAATCGGATACTTAATGCTAGACTAGAGAGTTACAGAAACAAAGTGTACACATTTTGTCCTTTGTGAGAACTCTGTTATATAAGTGACTGAAGACCCGATGGGACTTACACAGATGGCAACAAGGAAATGAGTGAAATACTGAAATCCCAGTACGACTCTGTATTTAGTGAGCCACTAATCAGTCTGAGGATCGACGACCCAAATGATTTCATGAATGAGCCTCATAACTCCATAAGTGTATGCCAGATTTCCGACATTACCCTAACTCCGATAGACTCCGAAAAAGCCACTGACAACATACCCATGCACTCAGCCCCGGGCCCAGACTCGTGGAACTCTGTATTCATTAAGAACTGCAAGAAACCCCTCTCGCGTGCCCTAAGTACACTATGGAGGAGGAGCTTGGACATGGGTGAAATTCCACAGTCACTTAAAACAACGGATATAGCCCCACTCCATAAAGGTGGCAGAAAAGCATTAGCTAAGAACTATAGACCAATAGCTCTGACGTCCCACATCATAAAAATCTTTGAAAGAGTGCTTAGAAGCAGGATTGCAAATCACCTGGATTCCCAAAATCTGCACAATCCAGGGCAACATGGGTTCAGGGCAGGTCGCTCCTGCCTCTCACAACTACTGGATCACTATGATATGGCCTTGGATGCACTGGAAGAAAATCAGAATCTAGATGTAATATACACAGACTTTGCAAAAGCGTTTGACAAATGCGATCATGGCGTAATAACGCATAAAATGCGTGCTAAAGGAATAACAGGGAAAGTGGGGAGATGGATCTTCAACTTCCTAACAAATCGAACACAAAGAGTAGTGGTCAACAGAGTTAAATCGGAGGCTGCCATAGTGAAGAGCTCTGTTCCACAAGGCACAGTACTCGCCCCCATTTTATTTCTTATCCTCATATCAGACATAGACAGAGATATACACCAAAGCACCGTATCATCCTTTGCGGATGATACTAGGATCTGCATGAGGCTGTCATCTGCTGAGGACGCGGTTAACCTCCAAGAAGATATAAACAAAGTTTTCCAGTGGGCAACGGAAAACAATATGATGTTCAATGAGGACAAATTCCAACTACTCCGTTATGGAAAACTGGAGGAGATAATAACTAGAACAGAGTATACTACAAACTCTGGCCATACAATAGAGCGGAAAATTAATGTAAGGGACCTGGAGTAGTAATGACTGAGGATCTCACTTTCAAGGATCACAACAGTGCCACGATCACAAGTGCAAAGAAAATGATAGGATGGATAATGAGAACGTTCAAAACGAGAGATGCCAAGCCAATGATGATCCTTTTCAAATCACTTGTTCTCTCTAGGCTGGAATACTGCTGTACATTAACATCTCCATTCAAACCAGGTGAAATCGCAGATCTAGAGAGTGTACAGAGATCCTTTACTGCACGTATAAGTTCTGTCAAGCACCTTAACTACTGGGAACGCTTGGAAGCACTTGACTTGTACTCGTTGGAACGCAGAAGAGAGAGATATCATAATCTACACTTGGAAAATCCTGGAAGGAATGGTCCCGAATGTGCACACAGAAATCACTCCCTACGAAAGTAAAAGACTGGGCAGGCGGTGCAAAATACCCCCAAATTAAAAGTAGGGGCGCCATTGGTACACTAAGGGAAAACACCATAAGCGTCAGGGGCCCAAGACTGTTCAACAGCCTCCCATCAAGCATTAGGGGAATTACCAATAAACCCCTGGCTGCCTTCAAGAGAGAGCTGGACAGATACCTAAAGTCAGTGCCGGATCAGCCGGGCTGTGGCTCGTACGTTGGACTGCGTGCAGCCAGCAATAACAGCCTGGTTGATCAGGCCCTGATCCACCGGGAGGCCTGGTCATGGACCGGGCCGCGGGGGCGTTGATCCCCGGAATAACCTCCAGGTAAGACACTGGCAAGTCTCCTCACCACCTGTTGCCTCTCTTCACCCAACAGTAAATATATACCCGAGTGTTGGTAAACTGTTGTGATCTCATCATGTAACTACAAATAAGTAATGCAAAATGTCTCAAACACATGACAGCTAAGTGTTAAAAAAAAGAAACTAGACGGAATTCAGCGAATTCAAAGAAAAATTTACAAAGTGCATGAAGAGTCCGTCGGCTATCCAGGGCTCCAGGGCGGCCAAAACAAACAACAAAATAATGTGGAATCTCAGGGAATATGAGAGGAGCAGCTCTGATGGGTACAGAAGAGTCATTTGTATATTTTATGTTTTGTTGACCTATTTGTAGCTATATGAGAGAGAGCCCGCGTATTACATCAGTATTTAATCTATCACATTTTTAAGTGGTTTAAGCGCTTATCATCTACATTTATATCTCATTCCAATGTTCTTACCCTGAAAAGAAATTCTGGTGACTTTCGGCACTTTATCCTCAATTTACAAACTGTAGCTTCTTTTTCTCTCCGATGGCGGCGTTAAAAAATCTTAATTTTTTTTCGTGTCCTGTTATAACTGTAT